CTCACTCGCATGGGTTCTTATGTTGATGTTTAGCACAATTAACTGCACGTGGAGGAATAACTGTGATTTTTTATTCTTAGGGGGTGTTAGTCAATTGGGACATTTTCATGCAAAATGGGATAATTATTAAAGTGGAATAATTTTTCGCTAGTGGGATATTTTAGTGGGACAAATAAGAATAATTTTGTGAAGCGGGATATTTTGATAAAATAACGTGGGATAAATTTTTATAATCACGAAATATATATTTATGCATTTTGAAGATATAGATACTATTTATGTATTTTTAAACTTACTATTATTGATTGATAATTGCTTACAAGAATGTTTTTTACTATTAAATAACTTTTGGTTAGACTATAAGATATTGACAATTATTATTATAATGATGGTCTAATGATGGTAGTAACCATAATAGGAAAGAAGTAAAGAAAAAAAAAGAAATATAAAAAATAACAAAATAAATATGAGTTCTAATTTTTTACCACCTAGTTCCAAGCTAAAACTTAGAATAATTTGAGAGAGTAGAACTCTCATTTTTGTATAGAAAAATAAAAAAAGTGGGATAATTTTGTACCATTATCCCAATTCTAGTTTTGTTATAGTTCTACTTGACTAACACTGTAAAATTTTGTTCTAATTTTAGTTCTATGTGACTAACACCTTAAAAATTTATCCCACATATTATCCTAGTTCTAATTTTAAGTTCTAGGTGACTAACCCCCCTTGGGGGAATTGTCAAGGGTCTTTTTCTGCATGTCCCTTATTCATTAGGCTAGGCTATTGAGTCAACATGATATTGTTATAGATCATAGAGTTCCACCTTTTGTTGATTTAATCTTTTGGAAACAGCAGGTAGTATTACAAGACCATAGTTACATGGTATGCTGTATGCTAAGTTGCATGGAAACGGGCACGGGTACTGGTACGGGTGCGTGTGCGGGTGCGGGTATGGGACATGACAAAGCTGTAAAATGTAGGGTACGGGGACACGACTACATATATATTAAATTCATACTGTACATAAGATAATTTTTTTCCCCTTCATGTGTCATTAGAATTAAAATTCCGATCATATTTATGAGTTTCTTTTATCATATTGATTATCGTAAATTGTAAACTACTTATTTTTTTACTAGACATCCAAACGACGCATTAACTATATAGTTTTAAACTTGGGTATAGACCGAAACAAATCCGACCCGTATCTCATAGTTTCAAAAGACGGATGTGAAGTGTAAGCTCTACGTCCAGGAAGTCTTTGATAAGTGTTTTAAATTAACACATATATCGTATAATTGATAAGTGTTTTAAAGTAACACATATATCGTATAATTGAGTACATGTTGTAATAAATGCATGCATATATTCAAGAAGTGTCCATGAAGTTTGGGTACGGGAAAGTGTCAGGTACGTGTCCGGTACGGGTACGGCTTCATTATAGAAGTACCCGAGTAACATAGGCTGTATGTAGCGGGTTGTGGTACTAATTTGGGTACGGAATTTGTCGCTTACCTATTTGGGATTTTTTTTGGGAATGTGTTTTTTTTTGGGTGGGTTTATTTCTTGGTATGCAAGTTTGGTAGCTGGTACATTTTAAATTGTTTTTTTTTTTTTGGGGGGATTTTTCAAAGTGTAGTAGAAGACTAGAAACTAGAAAGCTAATTATGCATTTCAACAACACAATACAAAATAATAGTATGGAAACTATGATTCTAAAGATAATTTGTGATTATCTGAATTATGCATATTAGGATATATGCGATTAATTGAAACTTTTATTTGTGTTTGGTAGTTGGTATTATGTATCTTGAAGCATAAGTTATCTGGACATCTTTTTTATGTGAAAACTCATAAACATGTTTCTTCATGCTTGTTTACATGTTATGTGTGCGATGCGCGCCTCGCTTCACTAAGGCATGCTCATGGCTTTGCGCCTTGTGCACGTGTGTGCATTGCAACGCGCCCCGCATACTTGTAAGCAGTGCGCTAATTTTGGAGAACCAATTCATGTACCAAAGTGAATCTATTCACCAATGTACTAACAATTGATTCACTGGAACTGTACAACTGTTCGAGGGTGGTCCCGAGAATTACGCAACTATACTCAAAAGCTTTTAGTGATTGGCCAATGGATGCATGTGCTCAATGCATGTTTCACGAGTGCATATCAACAAAGTAAAGAGAGAGGGGGGGGGGTCAATTTTGGTAGGAAAACACCTGAAATTTAGGTTGGTCTTACATGAAAAAGTCATTATATGCATGAGACAAGAGTCATGGACATGCTCAGTCTATTTAACACTTCACTCGAGTACCAATTAACAATATTCTAATGTTAAGTAGAGCAAGATATCTAGTTTTCTAAAAGACTAAAACATATCAAGGGTCAAATGCACTCCCAACGATATAACTCTTCAATATCACAGTCCCTCACAATCTCATTTAATAATTTATTTTAAAGGAAAACCCCCAACATCCAAACGTCAAATAAACTATGACATAAATATATGCAACTTGGCTAAACTCCTCCAACTGACTCAGCAACTTATTTAGTATCTGACAGATGAAAATAAAGTGTTGAAGCAAATGATCGATGAAATAAAGTGTTGAAGCAAATGATCGATGAATATGGCAACTCCTAAGTAGTGGACCAAACAAACTTTTGGACACAATGAAACTAGATCATTTTAAAGAAATTTTACATACGAGATGTCTAATATATGGAGTTGTTAACATGTAGTTTCAAAGAAGTTAATATGGTTGTTTCATAAATGAATTACAATAGATCAAATCTACGACAAGGTAGCAACGATAAGTTTTCATTTCATTTGATCACCTAATTTTCCGGCCATAAGATTTGGTTCTATTATGGAAGTCACAAGCATGACTGAGATATCATCATAGCCTTTCATATCCCTCTATCCCGAAGAACTTGGAAACATCTTATAGTTGTGGCAAAAATATTTATAGGCGGTATGGATCTTTTGGAGAACGTCATGAAACTGTGATATGTGAGGTCCTTGGTAGTTGATATTACTCAATTTTTTAAATGTCGGATGTCGGGTTCATGTCAGACGGTTAAAATTCATGTTGGATAGTGAAAATCGGGGATATATCGGGGGACATGAAAAAATATCGGATTGCCATATCAGATGGTGTGCATATGTGTGATATAAATATTATAAATAAAAACTAAACATATTTAATAAATTCTATTGTCTAAACATATAAAAAAGTAACTAACTTGTGATGTTTAGGGTTGATTGTTGAAGGAAAGAGGTGAGAAAAAATGAGTCTAATGTTGACGGTTAAGGAGAGAGAAGATCACCCATTATTGATGTTGAATGAACAGCTCGGAGAAGAGACCGATGTCAAAGGGGAGAGAGAAAACAAGCGATGGAAATGACTTTGGTCTTGTTTTCCATTTTCCATAACTGATCGGGTTGTTTTTAGAAGCAATTTAAGACAATCAAGAATTTAAACCCAAACCTGATTAGATAAAAATAACCAAAAATATTTTTAAAAAATCAGACAATTTTAAGACTGAAAAATCGGCTGACATAGCCGATATGTCCTTCGATATATCCGACATGAACCTTGAAAACACAATATGCATTGAAAAGCTCCATATCGTGTTGGTTGGCCTCTAAACCCAATATGAACATGTTGGCCGACACTTAAAACACTGGAATTACTCAATATTTTGCATCCTTTTTCCTGTGTTTCCCCCTTGTTTGGGAAAATGCCCAATATGCTAACCACCTCATCTTATAAGTAGAGAGAGTTCTATAGGGTTCCTGATAATGATAATTGCAAAGTCTTTTTTGTATGACAAACTTCATATAGAAGCTATTTTCATTATCTACCAGAAATTTGTTCTTGTGATGTTTCTTGAATAAAATAATTGTTGAAACTCTTTCAGTATATGAGGATCATGTGATGATATTGTTAGCTCATTCATAGACAGTTAGATTTCATCTTCACGACTGCAACTTAAGTCATTTTTCTTTATCTGTATCTTTGATGGACTCTTCTATTGTAGATATTGTGGAGTTGCAGAAAGCAGCATTCATTCCAGTTGCAAATGGCACTCGCTTGGTCACAGTGAAGTCTTTGTTTGTTCGTCTGACAATTAATCTTTCACCATTTTCATTTGAACTCCCTAGTCTTTACCTTCCATTTGTAAACATCCTTAAAGAAATGGGGATACAAGAGGTTCTTTCCATTACCTATGCAAGAGATCTTCTGTTAAACATCCAAAAGTCATGTGGGTATCAACGTCTTAATCCAAATGAACTCCGTGCTGTGATGGAGATCTTGAATTTTATTTGTGACGGGGAAATGCAGGCAAGGTCAGACAGATCAGAGTGGATATGTGATGCTATAGTGCCAGATGATGGATGCAGGCTTGTCCTAGCAAGATCTTGTGTATATGTTGACCCCTACGGATCCCAATTTCTTGGCAACATAGACACTTCGAGGTTAAGATTTTCTCACCCAATGCTTCCTGAAAATATTTGCATAACCCTGGGCATAAAAAAGCTTTCTGATATTGTTACGGAGGTACCCTTTCCTTTTTTTCTCCCTTAAAATTGTGTTGGCGTAGTTCTTTCATGACACTTGTTCATCTTCATCTGTTGTAGGAATTAGATGATGAGCTGCAACTGCAAGTCATGGATCAGATAGGATCAATTCCTGTCAATAATATAACAGAGAAGCTCCTGAGTAAATCATTACAAGATGCTGTGTGGATTTTGATTAATAGTTTAACCAATCATTTCCCTTCATTCAAAGGGATGGCTTCCTCACAAATACAGAATTTACTCGGGCATATAGCAAAAACTTTGCAGTTTGTTCAATGTCTCTACACTCGGTTTATTCTACTTCCAAAATACCAAGATGTTACACGGACAACCAAGGGCTCTGTTATTCCTGAATGGGAGGGCTCCAGGAAGCATCGAACTGTCCATTTTATCGACAAGTCAAAATCCCGTATTTTAGTTGCAGACCTTCCAAGTTATATGTCTATCTATGATGTGATTGCTGTTGTTGTCAGCCAAGTGTTGGAGGCACCAGCAACATTACCTATTGGACCCCTCTTTGCTTGCCCAAATGGCTCGGAGAAAGCAATCCTTAATGCACTTAAGCTCGGCTCTGAAAGGGGAGTGAGTAAACATGAAGGCAGGAATCAAACATTAGTCGGAAAGGAGTTATTTCCACAGGATGCTCTATTGGTGCAGTTCCTTCCCATGCGTCCATTTTATACTGGGGAAATAGTGGCATGGAAGACAGGACGAGATGGGGAAAAACTTAGGTATGGCAGAGTTCCAGAAGATGTAAGGCCAACTGCTGGTCAAGCACTTTACAGATTTCCTGTGGAAATTGCACATGCAGAGACCCACGTTTTACTATCTACTCAAGTTTTCTCATTTAGAAGTGTCTCAATGGAAGATGAGGCTTCCACATCGTTCACACAAGTGGAGAATGAAGCTATAATTGATAATACTATGTCGCATATCCAGGAAACCGAGGATGGTGTAAATAGGAAACAAGCACATCAGGTCAGACTGTTAATATGCTGATAGCATCAAAATTTACAGCTATCTAAAGTTAACAAAATTTACAACTATCTGAAGTTAACAATAGCTGAAGGACTTTATTTTGTGCAGGTTGCCAATGAGCTGCAGTATGGAAGAGTGTCTTCAACGGAACTTGTGCAAGCAGTCCATGACATGCTTTCAGCTGCTGGGATCAATATGGATGTTGAGAAGCAGACACTTATTCGGACAACTCTTACTCTGCAAGAACAGGTGAAAGAATCTCAGGTGGCCCTCTTGGTCGAGCAGGTGAGTCTTGATTTCCTGAGATTGACATATACCTGTAAATGGCTGATTTAATTTGTTATTTTATGCTTGGTAGCTGATTTAAATGTTAATAAAAAAGGTAAGTTGGTCCTATGACATTAAATTGGATTGGCACAAAATATTTGAGCACCAATGAGAGTACGCTAATGACGGACCAAACGAAAAGGAATTAGGGATTATATAGTGGGGTGTGGTTAGAAATTCTGTCATGCCAGAGTGGAATACCCAAGTTATTTAATTCAAACGGAATGTATCTATACTATTGTAATGGAGAGCCTCTTTAACTGGCTGCACTCCTTTTTACATCTGCTGTTTCAGACCAATTGCGAAAACACGCATACTATATACCTCAAATGTTGGCTGAGCTCTAGGAAAATAAGAATTAAGGTGTCTGCAATCTTAAATAAGGTAACTTAAAATTGTGGACAGCTAATTATTTCCTGTTAATAACACATGCAGAAAAGTGGTAAGATCTAAAGGAAATGCTTGTTCCTTGTGGTGATTTTGGATGAAGAAAAAACAAAGTACATGAATCTGCAGAAATTTGTAGATGTCTGGCTTCTTCAAAGTATTTGGAGTTGGGCATTAGTGAGTTACGCTCTCTTTGCATAGCAGCATATCATTAAGAGTTGGGAAGTATATCACAAGTTTAAGATCATTTCAATTGTTTTGGTTAGGGGGTCTAATGACCCCGTATCGTATTTGACACTTGTGTTAACCTCACTTTACAGCAATAAGAAAGCATGAATAAGAGAGTTGGAAAAAGTTTTTCCACAATTAATTGACTCCCTTGATTAGACTTAGGTCTAGATCCTAGCTATAATTTAGTCATAAATTGTTCATTCATTCATTTAGTTTTGCAAACTGCAGGAAAAAGCTGATGCAGCCATCAAAGAAGCTGATGCAGCCAAATCAGCATGGTCATGCCGAATATGTCTGAGTGCTGAAGTCAATACTACCATTGCCCCTTGTGGTCACGTTCTCTGTCACAGATGCTCCTCTGCTGTGACCCGTTGCCCATTTTGTCGCTGCCAAGTTTCCAAAACAATCAAAATTTATCGACCATAAGAATTTCTCTATCACATGCTGAATCAAATACGACTCTCATGCCCCTTTAAATTGAAGGGGATGAATGACAATGTGGTAGTTTAGTTAGGGTCCCCATAGTTTCCTCAAAAGTGTTTTGATAGTGTATAAAGTTCATGTAAAGAAATCAATTATCATTCATTCGAACCACTAACATTTGAATTCAGCAGTGTAAATAGAAAGATCCAACGTTGAGAATGTACAGTCAAATGTTTGAAAAGCTATAGTAAGGAGGATCCCCAGCCCGTTTGGTCAGCTGAGATATTGAAGTAAGATATTCCCTTGTACAAATTAAGCATGTAATACGTTAGCATCAAGAACAAAATTAAGTTCCTGCAGTAAGATATCTTATTGCTTTCTATTGTTAGTAAAGTCAGTGAATCAAATTATGTTGGTATTTTTGTTAATTTTATGTTGTTCTATGTGATCATACACAAATTTGTTATAGGCAACTTTGATCATAGCCATAAAACTTGAGGTTCACAAAGAAATTTTTAAGGAAAATTACTGAGCGGAGTACTGCCATGGAATGGGTATGTTTACTGCTCAATACTATGCACCAAATGTAAGGCGCATCTCAAATTAGAGGTGTCCATCTCCTTATTGTGATATTACATGTATAAACTTTCAGATCTATGGAGTAAGATATCGATTTCTCAATAAGATCAGAAGGTTTTTTTAAGATATATACATGTATTTCTAAATTTGCCCCTCAAATCTTATTAACGTCAAATTTGCCCTCTAAATTGTCAATTGCCCCTAATTTTACCCTCCAAAAATCGAACTGTTAGATTTAATCTAAATTACCCTTTTATCCTTATAGTTTAGGATTTTTAGGATTCAAACAAATATTAGCCGCCCTTTATTAGCCTCCCGGTGAGCAATGAGAGAGATCTCAAGTGCCAATGCCTTTTGTTGTTTTTGCCAAAAAAATTCGGAAGTTTTTTTGGGGAATTTTTAAAAAAAAAACACATATAGAGCAAGAAATTCTCATGATTCAGCATGAATAGAATAATTAACTAATGATGCGTTTCAAGAACTAAAATAAAGGGACTTGTCAAGAGCTCTTTTAAAGATTCTAACTACTAGATCAAAACTTCAAAGTTGTGATGGAGTTATTATTTTATATTCTAAATAGAGCATCCTTTTATGGACCAAAACCTATAAAAGATTTGAATCTGGATTGCTTTGATACCATCTTAAAATCTCTAACAATTACACCAAAACTTAAAAGTTATAGTGAATGTTGAGAGTTATTGTTTTATATTCTAACAAACTCAAAGTAACTACACCGAATAAACAAACACAAATGAGTCTTAACTTTCATAGTCCTCAGAAATCAAAATACAAATAGATAAAATGGAACCTAATCAATCACTTTTTTTTTTCAATACGACGCTAATCACCTCTCACATGAAGGAGGCCTGGAGAGTTCAGCTCATATCCTGGTAACGGTTACAAGTTCAGTTGTTCAAGGACAGAACTGCTTCCAAGTGGATGTAATTAGTTAAGTTGAATGCCGGGAGTAGATTTTCGAATAAATTCGAAAATACTTACTTCAAAGAGATAATAATGTTTATCTCATTTTAAGTTTTAATAGTAGTTTATATGCTTATGACAGGGGAACGAAAGAACTTGCAGTTAATTGGCTATGACCTGATTCCCATTTCGCGTATGGAGTTTCTTATATAGTGTTATTTTAGGATAAACGACACAGCATCCTTATTTAACAAATAAAGAGAGATTTAAGTAGCATAGACATTATCCAGCTCTTCAATACACACACACAAAAAAAAACCATTATAATTTATAACTGAAATTTATAACACTAAGCATTTACAAGCCAATAACTGAAAAGATAATTTACTCGAACGAGCAACTTAACAAGAAATGTAGGAATTGGAGTGAACATTATCTCTGAAAATCAGAATACAAGTTTCAGTTATATAAAAAAAAAAGCCCATTTGCTTCCCATATCACACGAAACCCCCAAGCTCAATTTCGCGTAGCTAAGTATATCAGTATCCGTCCCCTATCACTATTGATGACATCACCTGTGTGAAGGATTGTTGAGACGGATGCATGCAGCTTTTAAATTAGAACAGCCCTAGCAGAGATACTTCAAGAAGAACGAAAACAAAATAGAAAAGCTGAAACAAGGATAAGAAAAAAGAAGAGAAAAGGTAGAGGGTACATGAAGTTCATAATCTAGTATAACTTTTATAAGTACATACACACAGACATATGTACATACATGCATATACGTGTGCGCGCGCTCACGTGTGCATGTGTCTGCACGTGTGTAGACGTGTATATATAAACATATGTGTGTGTACGTGTGTGTATGTATGTATATATATATATATATATATATATAGTATAAGCTCATGTGAATTGATCTCCACAAAGTTTTGAATATATAGATCACAATGAACGATGTGGATCATTCATATCGATGGTTAATTAGTTACACCCTATGTGTATTGTAACCCTACCCGTACATACATGTATATATGTCTGTATATATCTATGCAAACCCATACATACATGTGTATATGTCTGTATGTATATATGCACGCGCGTGAGTGTGTGCGTGTTGGAACAGATTATACTTTAAAGATGCAAGTCCATTATGCAGGAATTTTGCCAAAACAGGGAGGCTACTGTTTTTCATGCTTTCACATTCCTTTACTTTTACATCTATGCTACTAACTCCACCACCAGACTAAAGTCTTTTTAGTTCATCCTTACACGCACGCATCCACTAAGCTCCATTGTCCACACAAATCATCTACACTAGACAAACATTCAAACAAAAAAGCCTTGCATGCTCATCATATAAATTCTGAAAAGATCATACAGAACTGTAAAAACTTGCTGCTCACTGTATATATGGTTGAAAATCATTAAGAATATATAACAAGGGTATCTGCGCCTCTATGTGATGGGTGTATTGGTGCAGATGTTGTAAGTGTATGTATGTGGTATAAAAAAAAAGAGAGAAATTCTGAGAAATCAGGCAAAGTAAATTGCTGATCCATAACATTACGAGAATTCACAAGCCTAAAGAGATTGACCCCCATTAGCAGCAAAGGGCCACAAGGAATGGTCCACATTAATCGATATGGTGTACAGCACACCCGACGGGTCAGTTCAAGAAGGAAAAAGGCTGCTCATGAAATATGATATATGAAACAAGTTCACAAAAACAATGATATATATGATAACCTAATCGGATAAAATGACTCAAATCATACTCATCAGCTAAATTCTAGAAGACATGGATCTAAGTAACATGTAACAGAACAGAAGCCACCTGATAAATAAATGAATGACTTCCCTCGGCCTTGGTCAAGGTTAGATCATGATCAACAGCGTATACCCTCAGATGCTCTCAGTTACCCACATCCTATTAGTTCGTCCTGAAGGCTCCAAACTAAAATCTTCCAGCATAAGTTTAGAATACATTTATCTGTGAATAGGCATCAGAAAAACAAAGAAAGTCTGTTAAGTAATGGACAACTATAGTCTATAGAAGGAAAATGACGACTCGTCCATCCCAACCCTTGTTTGCCCCAACCCTTCTCTATTAAACTACATATAATAAATGAAAACCGGGTTGTATAGCATCCACAAACATCTGTAGGCAAATTAACTCAAAATCCACATTTCAACATTCATAGTGCAATGAGAGATATAAAGAATTCTTTATTAAGATCAATGTTGATAATAAATTATCCAGTAGTAACAGTATGGTATTTAGCTCAAATATACAAAGTCATGGAGGACATTTCACATGACGTAAAATACCTTGAGATTACATTTAGCAGTGATTAGTCTTCTAGACACAGTTGTCAAGACAAAAATTACAATGTACAAAGTCCTGCCAAAAGACTAAACCAGATCTCATCACCACTATGAAAACTGCACATTTGTAGGTCATCCAGAAGCACAAGACCATGTGAATCTAAAATCCGAATCTTCAACTTCCACATCATATTACCAAGCTGAAATGAGATAACAAAAGGAAAAGGTTTACTCTGATTTAAAATTCTAACATATATGTCACCAAGAAAACAAATAACGAGAAAGATATCAATACCAAAGGATACACACTATTGTCGTTGACATAGCTCCAAGGAAATATGTACAAATAACTTTAAGATGGTCTCCAACAACTATGAGCGGGAACATCATGTTGGTACGGTAACTGTTGAGGATAACCCCGTCCTGGAGAAGTATGGCAAGAAAAAAGAATCGCGATCTCATAAAGCAAAGAACAAAAAGATAAGGAAAGAAAATGCTCCTCTGAAACAAGAAGTACCAGGAACTGGAGCTCTAGATTCCATAGGAGCACGCAATGGATGCTGAAATGCTATTGACTGAGAGGATGCCCTTTCCATTTGAAGGTGGACCTCTCGTTCATTGGGGGAATCGAGAGGGGATTTTGGCTTTGGCCCTAACTTTTGCAGGTTTGACCAGAAAACACAGAAAGTGGAATACGGGTAGCAAAGAAAATGCTAACTCGTATTATCACTCAAGAGGAGGCTTTAATGCTAGGCGTTTAGGACTTAGCACGTTAAATCTGAGAAATGCCAACGACGGGCAAATGAAAATGTTGGTGGGTCCACTGTCGTTTGATTTGATCAGTGGATGGTTTGGTGAGGAAAGATTAACCTATCAAATACATCCACCACGCCAGAAATTGGTCAACTTTATGTAAATTGTCAAACTCATACATCTTGTCCCTTTATTCATGTTAAATTTGTAGGAATGACAGGTTATGCAAAACAAGCTTCAAGAAAGCCAACTACAACAGAGGTGGTGATAAATATATAATGCTCAACTTTGCATGATTATTCTAAATATTTCCATGTTCAAGTATGTCTGAAAGGTTATGCATCTATTTTGTGAGAAAAAAAAAACAATATACCCTCTTGCACAAAAGATGAATCCGAGCATGATGGACCTCTTCCTCCAGCTAGCCATGCATTATGTTGACTATCTGGACCAACTTCAGAAGAATGAATTCTTCTCGGTTCATCAGCAGCATATTGCCTGTGACCATTTGGATGGGATGATACACTGTATGGATTGTATGACTGCTGTAAATTCTGCTGGCTCAGAGGTTTTGCATATGAAAAATGATTTGATGGTGGATTTCCAGTTGCAAGTGGATGATTTGGAGGTGTCTGCACAGGTGGTTGGGGATGGTAAGGTCTCTGGTGGAAAGATCCACCACCTTGTTGAAATTGATGGCTGGAATTCGAAGCCTGAGGAGTTGAATATATATCATTGTTTCCATACTCAAGAGGCCTCATGGAAGTAAATGCTGGCATAGGTTGTGGATTGCCATTTCCAGTCCTCATAAAATTGGCCTGCTGCTGGAAAATTACATCGCTCTTGACAGCTGCATTACCATGCGCCTGGAAGGCAGCGTTTCCACTGATCTGGTCTAGTTGGTTGTCCTGTACACAAGGCACAGATCAAAAAAGTGATATCTAGTACATTAATAGAAACAACTAGAAGAACTTACACTTTGCATCCTGCAGTAGTCATGTGCATGAGGAACATATAATGAAGGTGGTGGGGGAGAAGGAGGTAAAGGTGGGTTTGGAAAAGATGGCAGAGGAGGTAGTGCTGGAGGAGGGAGTGGTGGTAGGGGTGGAGGTGGAGGTGGTGGTGGTGATGATGGTGGTGGAGGTGGAGGTGGTGACTGAGGCAAGGGAGGTGGTGGCGATGGAGAATCTAAAGGTAAGGGTGGACAGTCTGACGGCAATGGAGGATATTCAGTTATGCTGATGGACTTTGACTCCAAACCTTGACTGAGATTTGGATGCGGAGAATCCAATTTGAGTGAACTACTCCCCTGAATTACTTTCTCATCTTTTGAAGTTGTGGAAACATCTTCCATTTCAAGTTCACCATCAACATCTTGTAACACGCGGTGACCTTTGTCACTGGCAAATGTATCTAGTTGTTCCTTAACATTGTCTAGATCATTGGGAATATCATCTTCATCTTCAAATACATGAGAAGAGAACAACCCAGGTAGCTGAAAGGTTGTATTGCTGAGGAAACAGAACAATGTAACAAAATGGTGTCAGACAAACTCAATATTAGAACATTAGTATATGTATTATTCATGTAGAAGTAAGAGAATGTGGAAAAGAAGATTTATACTGAGCCAAAATATGTTTAAAACTGCAGTTATGAAGGGCGAAGAAAAGACTCATAACCAAAACCATTATTCAAGACTTTCCAATAAAAATGGAATCTGATTCCAATAATAGAAATCTCCACATAAGCATTGACAATTTTTAAAACTTGCATCAAAACTGACATAACTCTTTACAAATTAATGCAAAATTCTTGAACAAGGAATCTATGAGTAGGGTGACATTTCCCAAAACAAAGAAACCCAGCTGGATGGAAAGTAGACATAATAATAATATCAAGTAGGAGAATATCATGAAACTTCGTAGGAATATGGAGTACCTCCTTCACTACAAGGAAATAACTACAATCTACATGAAACTAAATGTTGTATTATCCACGATATGAAGGAAATTTTCCTAAGAAAATTATCCAACATACCAATTCACCATGTCCATTCATGTCCACATAATTTCATTAGTCTTCCTTAGATAGTCCTTTTTCAATTATGAAATAAAGAAATCAAATATACATAAACAAGTAATTTCTCACATAAAACAATTACACCATATCGATGAACCATTACTAGAAACCAATTATCATCACTATTACACTAAAGTCTAAAATTACAGATGACAAACCCGCAACTTTGTGAGTGGATTGATTCATTTCACAAATGCCAGCATAAGGTAGAGGATGCAATATCAGGGAATTCATGGCTTCATGAATGAACACAATAGCATAGAATTTCAAAGAATTCATTAGTTCATCACTAGTCAGATAATCAAAGAATAATACGAAGAAAAATATACAGATGATCATGTCGGACAAGTTACCTTCCATACTCATCTACAAGCATGTCTTCCATCTCTCTTATGGGATCATCAACAGAACGCTCAGCTCGTGACGGACGCCTTAGCAAAAATGCGGCAGTCATGTCCTCACTTGGAACAACAATATCATTCATGTAACGACGAAGAAGCGATTCAGGAAGAATCTTCCTCTCAAGCCATAATCCAAGAACCTGAATAACCAGTTTAGTAATGTATGAAAGTGAAGAAGAAAGTATACTATTCTAGGACAGAGGACTGTAATTACCTTCAGGCACTGGCGACGGTTCTCCTGGGCACCAGCCCCAGGTGGAGCAGCAGCACCAAGAAGACGAGGTAATGCTGCTTCTACTGTGGGAATATAGGAAGCCCCAGCAATGCCTACATGTTACCAAGTACAAACAAATATGGAGAAAAGAATCAGAGGTATTGATCTTAGTTATATCATTGATACGTTAGTTCAACAATATGTTTAGATGTTACCGCCGATCACAGAAATATTGCAACAGTATAAGAACAAAATATAATCAAACAAAAGATTTGCACCACACTGAAATTCATATTTACAAGTGAATTCCCATGTCAACGGTGCAAATACTTGTGTGCATATTAACGTCATGTTCTTTCAAATGCACAAAAGCCGTCAGAATAAGACTTCAATGGATATTCATATTGCTAGATAAAGACCAGTGGCGCATGTTAGAACATTTCAATCAGAAGTTCATACTCATGATAAATCTCATCTACCTTTCTGCCCGTGTGAGCATTGGGTGATTGAGTCCACAAGAAAAAAGAGGTCAATTCGACGATGGAGGCTAGGTTCTGTCTCCAGCTTGCGAATGAGAAGTTCTACAACCTGCATATGACAACATCACAGCCATTAGGACTTTCCTCAAGACATTAAAAGTCAAGGAGAAGGAAATCATGAGGGTAAAGGGAAGAAATACAAGGCTTCATCATGAAACCAAGTATAACACTGAAATTGACAATTATTCATTAGCAAGAAGCCATAAAAAGTTGCTCCAGAAAACTAAACCATTTTATTCAAAATTCTATTTGACATACAGCGCAAATTTCTTAATTCAAAACAACAAGAAAATACAAGACATCATCATGAAACCACTTCTTAAAACAAAATTGACAATTAATCATTCACGAGAAGGTGTTTAAAATTTTTATTGGAAACAATTAAAATATAAACCAAGATTCTATGCAAAATTCTATTTGACATAGACTACAAAATTTCTAAGGTTCCAAAAGAGAGCCACAAATGACATTGCAACAATATGCCAATCGAGAAGAAAACAAATTAAAGATGCTTAGAAATCTAAAAACACAAATTAGAAGATAATTATAATCAAATATTTGAAAGAAAAAGTAATTGAATGCTACAATTTATATAAAACACTGACAAACAATGAATGACGACGACAAGAACCATAGAAAACAGCAAATCATAAACACCAGAGACGTGTTTCGAGTGTGTGTATGCAGGTGTGAGAGAGGTGAAATTTGGCTCACCTCATTGGCAATCCCATATTTGGCACAATTAAGGGCGAGACGGGTAGCACGGCCAATACTGTCCTTTGTTCTTGAAAGTGTCTCCAACATACCTTCCAAAGCATCACGAGCAATAGAAGCTTCAGTGCCACCACTTAAAGAACCCCCAAGTTGTTTGTGGCCAGGACTAATCTTGTGATTGAATTCCTCGTCATTTATTTGATTTGATGGAAGTTGCTGAGCGGGTAAAGACGGAGAACCAAATGGCTTCATAGGGTATAACAGCTTTGAATCTTTTTGAAGAGAATTTTCCAATGAGGTAGGATAGACAGAAGAAACAGGACTTGGACTCTTTCCATTAACCAAAGGCGGGGTGGCAACTGCAGGAGCAGTAATTTCATGTGGTTGACCCAGTGGCTGTGACTTTTTCCTTTTCTCATGAGCAGCTTCAATGAGATGTTTCAGTGACTTGTCAGAATTTCCAAACTTGGAACTAACAGATGTAGTTGCTGCTTTTTCTCTTTTTCCAGCATCTAATCTGCAATTAGATAATTCACTGAGATGTTTGATTAGACCATTAACGCATAAATCATATATGTGACTATACGCATATATTATATAATGTAAATAATTGTGTAAAAAAGATGTAAAAACACATGAAAGCATACGCATGAAAAACAACAATTTTTTTATATCCACCCCTTAAATCATCAATATTTGGAAACTACTCCCAAATTTCAGTATTTGCAGAACTACTCCCAAATAATCAACTTTGAAAGAAAATAACCCCAAAACAATAAATCATTAACTTTGTCAAATATGGGGAATAAAAGTTGGACTGTTTTGTTGATATTTTACATTCCAGATATAAATTAGCCGATCAAAGTTGATGATTGTTTATGAGGGGTATTGTTTCCAAAGTTGATTTGGAGGATAATTCTGCAAATACTAACCTTTTTTTTTTGCTTTTTTTTTTTTTGGAGAATTAACATGTATATATACAAAAAACCCCAAAAAAAAGAACCAATATAAAACAAAGACAAAAAGATTAAAAAAAAGTTAAGTGCAGTATTTTATACCGTTCTGCATATAGAGCATCCTTCTCAATATTTGGCTCAGCTGAAAAGTTGATGTTAGACCTGTTTTCTGTGAATCCACCAATAACTGAATCAGATTTAGGATTCAAATGCACTTTTTCTGCAACAGAAGATGTTCCGTTCTTTATTCTGATCTCCTGATTATGTGTATGGTCTAAACTTGCAGAAACAAGGTTTGATGGTCTGGAACAGCTGCCTTGAACTTTCTTTGATGATGAGTTACCTGAAGATTTCACTTGGGGCTTGATGGATTTATGTTCCACTGGTTTGGTTTTGGGTGAGATAACAGCTTTGGGTGAGATAACAGCTACCCTGCCCTCACCAGAAGAGGATTTCTGACATTCTAGCTTTGTAGTACTACGAGATGCTTGCAACCCCAATTCTTTTTCTGTACTTATCACCTCTTTCTCCAAGGCATTAGGAGATGAAGAACCATCACTATTTTTAAGTGGTGCTGCCAAATCAGTTGAAGAAATTTCTTCTCTTTTAGAATTTACATTTTCAGACAAAGCTTTTATTATAGTTAATGCAGAATCTCTGGAATTTTCAGCAATTTGACCATTCGAATGTGCAGAAGTTACAATACTCGTAGACTGTTGGTGAACCGGGGTTCTATTAACTTCATCTTCTTCATCGTCATCAATTAGAAATGCTCTTCTTCTTGAGCGTACATGTGCTGTCGTGGATACACCATCATTCACAAAGCCCGGACTTTTTCCAGTTGTGTGTGTAGTATTTTTGGGGGCAGAAATAGATGCTGATTCTGATACTCGACTACTTCGTTGTGATGGAAGATGCACATTCGCTGTCACCATTTTATGCTTCCTAGTGTGTTCCAAATTAGATGCCACATGAACATCGCCTTGCAACGAGGATAGTGATTGTTTACCTTTTACAACTTTACCTCCTTTAACTTTGCCAGCAGAATGTGATGAATCTTTATTTCTCGACATTTTTCCAACACTCTCATCACCACATTTAAATCGTTTAGCTGACTGTGAATAGTCAATGTCAGCTGACTTTTGATTTTTACTGCTGAGCAAGGACCTTCCCCCCTGAAGATGAGAAGATGATAACCCTTCGCTGACCCGTACCTTTAAGCTATCTGCTCTAACCCTTTTCTGAACACCCTGCAATGCATCTTTTTCAGATGTATGTTTCTTAGATTTTGTAAAGTTATGGGATCCTTTTTCACTGTCAGTTTCCTTGCCAAATTTTGGAGAGCTTTCATCTGATCCTGCGAAGTTATTCCCATCTCCAAATTTACCACTTTCCGTAGATAAGTTTCTTTTTTGTTTGTGCAATATGTTATTTTTTTTCATTTTTGAATCAACCACAGCATTTACTTTTGGTTCAGCCATCAAAGCAGTGTCACTATCAAAACCTATCACCTTCTGTGCATTAACTACTTTTTCTGAACAAACTAACTCATTTTTTGTAGTCTCCGTGTTAACACCATCAACTGGACTAGAACATGATCCAGAATGATGATAATCCTGATTCTGACAACCATTGCTCAGAAAAGTCTCTTTAACTTTCGTTTCAGAAAATGTGGCTGCACCCATGTTTTCATTATCAGGCAGGTTACTGGAACTACCTTCCTTAGCAAAAGGAGTACCAGATGTTTTACCTTCCTTACTCAATCTTGTGCTGTCTGATAATTTTTTCCTTTTCTTAACTGAAAGATATTCTGGATCCCCGCCATCTGAACATGGCTGAAAAACAGCGCTCCCACCACAACTTTGTGGACAACGTTCCAGCCCATGTGGCTCATCAAAGGAGCTTTCAGTCTTATCAGCATCCTTCTTCATATGTACCACCTCCTGATCTTCCAAATGATGAATTTTGTGATACATACGATGGCTGCTATTCTCAAGGTCATCGGTTGGTTCAGCTGCTGTAGACGAATCGATATCTTCTCCAGAACCAGTAAAATCTTTCTGTTGCATTTCATCGAACTCCTCACAAATCTCCTCCACAGCTTGAGCAAAATATTTTACAGTTTTACCCTGACACCGCGCCAACAACTTACTCTTTGATTCGTTAGTAAACACTTGAATATCAGCAGGTGCAACAAAAGCACTGCAAAAGGCAGAAAAAAGAAATTAAGATAAAAAAAAATGAGGAATTTATCATATACATTATATTTCAGGAGGTTAATCCACACATATCCAGAGCAAAACAACAGAAGTTTGAAAACAATTCGAAAAACTAATGCAGAAATCACACACATTGGTAAATAGATTATACACACCCTACAAGTGGCAATGCAAGAAATTGTATAAATACCTTAGAAATCACAATATCAACTATGGCAATCCTTAGATTCACACAAAGACTACAAATTGTAGCCATTTATTAAACCGAATGCACTCAAAAAACAAAAATACTAACGACGACAAAATGGAAGTCCAAGGTTCAACAGATTAGTCGTAGTAGGATAAAATTGCTGGAATGTGAATATAGCAAGTTATTCCTCCATCTCCTGTTACCTGAATAACGATTGCCCCGAATGCCAAAAATGAAAAGAGTTAATTCCACTGTTCTTATTAAAAAACATAATTTTCATATCTTGTTGTAATGCAATCATGGCCTTGCCTGTGACATGTCTTGACCACTTTTAGTGAGAGTTAGATACATAAACCCAAGCATTTTGGACTGACTCTGCACTTAAAAATGCCCACTCCACAAAATACACATAATTTGGCTCAAAATTCACCAGGTCGTCATTCTGATTTGCAGAAAAGATTATTGATAAGGGTGATATTTCTAATTAAACCCAGTTTCCTGATGTAAAAAGACAAAGCTTCACACAATCTGTTATATCCTTAATTTAAATCAACCAGAATCACTAGAGGAAGTCAATTTAAATTGAATTAGGACCGTACACTCGAAGTGTTCTACATTTAATGCAAAATATACTCCAACAGAAGTTACAGAGCTATTCCTAACTATCAAACTCACATTTCTTTGATCTTCCTAATCATGAAGTCAACGCACTACTAATTACTATTCCTTATGCTAATGTTTTTATGTCATTCCCTCCTCCACTTCCAAAGATTTGCCACCCCTCAACAATTTGCCAAGACCAACTGAAAATGAACAAAATCTACTGTTTTACTCGCATCAGTCGGCAGATTATTGAGGCCCTTGTTCAATCTTGTGGCAACACTTACCTAATTTCATTAGTTCTTCATAGGTATCCCTATTTCGTATAATAAGATTGATTCTTGCTGTTGGCTTCAGCTATCATCTAAATTTTAGCTTCTATCGACTCAGTTCGAAATTTGTTTGAAAAGAATACTACTCCATCTTGCCTACTCAAAAGCATAAAATTTATGATATGCACAATAAAGGGATTATGATTAGAACAATAACATATTCACGCAAATGATAGAACTCAAGGTAGGGAGAAATATATACATGAATAAGAAAATCGCACTTACATTTCTGCAGTCCCAAAGAACTCAACAAAATACTTTCGGGGATCAGGTGAGCGATCCCAATCTTCCGGCTTGCTTATCTGAACAAGAAATCTCAGTGTTTTATTACTTTATACTTGTATAAGATATAAGAACAGTATACTTTCAGAAGGAGGTTGAGGAATGACAATTTTAGAAAGGCAAAAAAAAACACTCAAAAACAAGGGAAGAAAAACCAAACAATCAAGCAGCTAAGTAGGTCAAACACTTGATCTAGAATGCTATAACAGCAGACAAACAAACTATATGAGGCACTTATAAATCATAGGACTCAATATCCTGTCCAAACCCTAAACTACTGAGTACTGGCACGTGGTGGAGGGCGTGTTTGTCATGGAACTTCTGCCCAAAGTGAATGATACGTATAAGAAGCAAATAAAAACCCAGAGATTACTAACCTTGTCAACTAATTGAATGAGAAACATAGATCCATCTTAAAAGAAGAATAACACAAAACATAGAAAGAACATAATTTCATATATCTGAAAATTCTAGACTACATTTAAAAGCACAAGTTGGAGCCTCTGACTGCCATTTTTGCCAATATTGGAAAATAATTTACTTTGTGTTTACACTTTAAAAAATATTCTCAGCATAAAGTAAAAACAGTATATTTCAATATATTCAATATCAATTCCCTCCCTCCTTGGAATAAATGACTAGAGAACTAATATGGTCGCTGCTTATCAATATTATTAAATGGTGTCTCTGCATTTATAATGGATTCCAAACGAAAAAGGAACGGCATTAAGAAGGTTTAGGTTGAATTGTTTACATGCAACTGGTCCACAGGAAGAATATGTTAAAAGCAATGTTATCGATAGCGGATAGCGTCGCGTAGCGGTGAGGCATCGCTAAGGCTATTTCGGGTTATTGCGGTAAAATAACGGTAAAAAGCACAAAGTCAAATAGCGGTCTAATTTAGATATATATAAATACTAAAAAAATTAAAGAAAAATCTAAAAAATCTAAAAATACATATTGGATGATTTAAAGAGATCCTAAACATGAAATAGACATGTAACCATCACGTAATACCGAAGATGACTGGAGGAGTTAAAAAGTCGTCGTCTTCGAGAAGAAGAGCTTAGCGGGCATCACGTAATACCGAAGATGACTGGAGGAGTTAAAAAGTCGTCGTCTTCGAGAAGAAGAGCTTAGCGGGGACAGGATTGCCCTAAGAGGAGCCACGGAGAAGGAGGTGAGAGGAAGTATCAAGGTAGGTGCTAGAGACTATGAGAGGTGACGGAAGTATGCTGAAAATCACAGGAGACGGTGGAATGCAATGGTCAAGGGTTGAGTTTAATTTCAAAAAAATAAGCCTCAAACCGCTTTTAAATAGCAGTCAAAAAGCAAATTTCGAATGCAATCGCTCACTATTTACTATTATGACACACTATTGGCCGCTTTTGCGAACAAACATATTCCGCAATATGTCACTGCTATTGTGCGATAGCGTAGCGGGCGATAACGTCGTGGGAAGGGACCACTAATGCTATTAGCGCCGCTATTGCAAGGCTATTTACCGCTATTTATAACAGTGGTTAAAAGTCGGTCTAAAAGATAACCAAGAACCTATCAACCAGATTATACCAAAGAAGACATAAACTAACTTGATAACCTTGAATCGAATCCTCCTTATGATGAAAGAATGTATGTGATTTTGCGTGCATGCATGCATGTGTAGAAAATAAATGACCATTGAAGTTGCAACTTTCATGCTTTTTTCATCGTGTTTCCAAATTGCACCTCCTAATTCCCATATCACTAAGATTGTAAAATCCACCCAACAGCTTATTATCAAAATATTGAAGTCGAAAAATGTACAACATCAATATCTAAAATTGTAAAACATCGAATTAACATGGCATTTAATGCAAAATTACCAAATCATATCCTTAAAAAGTAGTTTTAAAAACTTAAATAATTACTATACATATCCAATATGGTTTGTGGTATTAGTATAATCATGCAATTATGTATCTTAATATACATCCTCTCGTAATGTGGGATACACTGAATATCCATCCTTCCGCTGTCATTTTTCAACTATGTTTGGCAACTCCAAAATAAATTTCGGCTTGGACTGGTTTTGTCTTAACAAGGCCAGAAGTGATAGGCAAGGGTTGGTCCAAAAAGAACTAGTTTAAGGGCTAGAATTTGAACTAGAAAAAACAGGTTCAACTTGCGCTAAGTTTTTGCCAAACTAAAAATTAGGTTTTGGAACCAAGGTTGTATCAACTAAAATAGATTTTGTGGAGTTGCAAACCACACCCTAAGTCAAATCCCATTCTTGATCATTACTAAAGATCATTGCACTTGTTCGATCTACCATTGTATTCCTCACTTAAATGAAATAAAAATTACTAACTTTCAACCTGCCCTAACTCTTCTTCCTAGTTAGAGAATGCTCCTTTGCAATTGAGAAACTCAAACCTTTCAAAGCTCTGCTCCCATTTTCTCATTAATTCACAGGGACAATGGTGAAGACCTCAAGTAGAAAAATATAGGTGATAAAACAAAAACCTCAAGCATTAAGACATGGATGACCACGAAGGTCTCGATAAGGAAGATAGAGTTCTAAGCATAGAAGGTATGAATCAACAATGTAAAGCATGATTCTTTCTTTTGGTTGCACTTCAAGGTACACTAATTTTGATGACCAAATTCCTTCCATGGAAATTTTCTTAAGATGCCTGCTATAGCATCAAGTTTTTCAGCCCATCAGAGTATAACCAATCAGCGGAAATTACACAATCTGCAGCTTAAAAAATATGCTGATAAAGAACTGTTGTTTGGATACAAAAGAGGAAAGTTTGAGTTTTTAAGGAAAATAAGGAGAGGAGAGGTGTAATTTGCTCCAAATTTTGAGGTATCATATAAGTATATCATTTATGTATGCCAGCAAAGTCATGCCATAAAAACGAGGAAGTAATAAAGGTAACTGGTTACTAAAAAGTCTAGAGAGAGAGAAAGAGAAGGTGAGAACTGTTGTTTGGATACAAAAGAGGAAAATATTGAGTTGTTAGCAAAATAGGAGAGGAGAGGTATAATTTGCTCCAAATTTTGAGGTATCATGTGAGTATATCAATATGTCTGTCAGCAAAGTCATGCCATAAAAACAAGGAAGTTATAAAGGTAATTGGTTACAAAAAAAAGTCTACACTTGATTAGCATTTGGTAAGGTTCTTTATGCCATCTCACACAAATCATATATCTCCTGCTGCATGCAACATGTCAGAAACTTCAACAAGCGAGGAACTAATGAACAACTTTCACTTTAAACATCAAACAACAAAGAATCAAATGACAAAAGTATCAAGCTATCACTTAGCAAACTGAAGAGAAAACATGATGATTGAGTCCCTGCCAATAGGCCATAGTTATATTAAAGCACCCAAAAAGGCTAAAAGTGAACATTACTTAGAAGTAAAATGCAACATCCATCAAGATTGTGGGGTTGAGAAGCTGTCTAAAGGATCAAACCATGACAATTGGATATGAGAAGTGCTTCTAGAGAATATATGACCACAATTTCACCAAAAATAAATATCAAGAAATCAAGAAACATGTCTAAAACCATAAGTGTTGCTAAATGAGAATGTTGATGTGGACAAGCAGCAGTTGCACACAAAAAAGAGGACCAATAGTGAGCATACAGTAAGAATCGAAGGCAAATTCATTCAACAAATAATATGGATTAGAGATGGCTAGGATTTTGAAATGGCCAGCTGATGTGACAATTGAGACGACAGGTAGGAGTGCCAGCATTCCGGTTGACCAGCCATCAAAACTAGAAGTAGACTAAAAATCAAAAAGACAAAGAAGAAGAGAATGAATGAGGTGGAGGATATGTCAGTTTCTAAATGAACTCAACCTTTAATGGAGACGGAATGGAGAAAAACAATCCATGTGTCACCTCCAAATAAGGACACCCAATATCGACAACCGAGCTTTTATACAAAAATTTTGGGGTCGGCTACACGTGTCCTTGCCCCCCTCTCAACTCTGCCAAGGTTATCCCCTCACCAAACTAATGACTATTATATCCTTTATAACTGCGTCCATCCATTTTTTTAGGCCTACATCTATTTCCTCCCGCTCTTTTTTAAACCTAGTCATTGGAAGAACTCCATATTATGGGTGTATTCCATATCAGTTTGCTTTCTGAATAAGAGTACCCACCAACAACGACAAAGTTTTTACCCAAACATTTAGGATTAGCTAAGTTAACTCTTTTCCCCTTTCAGTTAAGTGTAAACCGCCTGAGCACATTAATGACTTTATATCCTTTATAATTGCCTCCATCCATGTTTGCTTTAACCTACCTCTATTCCTTCCCACTATCTTTTGAACGTAGACTATGGAAGAGTAACTCCATAATAAGGATGTATTCCTCACGAGTTCTCTACAAATAAGGGTATCTAACATTCACAAAAAGCTTTTACCCAAACTTTTGTGGCTGGCTGCAGAAATCCTTGCTTCCTTTTCAGTTCAGTTAAGGGTTATCTACTCAGCAAACTATTGACTAATATCTCCTTCCAATTACCCATCGACCTTCATCTATAACTACCTCTAGCCCTTTCTGCATTAACTGTGACCATATTACTCCTCATAAGCTTGATTCTAAAGATCCAATACAACATGTAACACCTCGAAAAAGGAAGATTCTCCATAGACTTTCAACCGAAAGATTCAATTACCTGACCGAAAAAAAATTCAAAGCCCGCATTGTAACTACAAAAGTCTAAACAAAAACCCTAAAACGAGATCAATTCTGCAGGAAACAAAGAACGGAAAAAATCAAATCACGCACCTTTGCAGGCCACGCTGGAAAGCCCTTGACCTTGGCGAGAACAAGATCCCCCAATTTCAACTTATCCTTCGCCTTCCCCTTGTTCCCCACTCTCCTCCGACCCGGCGCCATCGTAGTATGCCTTTCAGAAACCCTAACCCTGACGAGAACTCAAGAACGGCAACCAAACCGGAGGGAAAGCGCCCTAGAAAGCTCGGAACGGCGGCCAGTCGAACTCCGGCGGCGGCGAATCCTGATCGTAGATGGGCTAAAGGTCGGCGATTGCGGGGGTGACGCCGAGCAGCGGCGGGGGGGGGCCCGACATTTGATGGGAGAGGGAAAAAAATTGGGATTTTGAGAAGTGAGATGAGAAAGAAGCAAAAAAGCGAAGGAATTTTGGAGCAGAGAGAAAGAGAGAGGTGAGAGAAAAAATACGAGAGTTCTTTTATATCGTTAGGGGAAATGGAACCCTAGCCATTGGATGGGGATCAGTGATGCTTGATGTGGTTTTTTGGACGGCTAGTTTTTTGCTTCAGAAAATAAATCGTCGATTGGGCTTGGACAATAATATTGTTTTTGCCATTGTTTGTGCATAAAATAGGACAAATTTTCAAAACCAACCCATTTGATAAACTATTCCCAAAAAAAGACCTATTTCAGTTTTATTTGCAAAAACCGACCTGGTTTCAGCCTCAGCGCTGAAACCAGGTCGGTTTTTGAAAAAAAGTTTCTGAAACTTCACGGGAGTTCAACTCCCGTGTAGTTTTGTTATGAGAAAAAACTTCACGGGAGTTGAACTCCCGTGAAGTTTCGTAAAGTTTTTTAGAAAAACCGACCTGGTTTCAGCGACAGTGCTGAAACCAGGTCGGTTTCTCTAAATAAATCTGAAACGGGTCGTTTTCTGCAATTAGTTTATCAAATGGGTTGGTTTTAAAAATTTGTCCTCATAAAATATGGGCTAAATAGCACCTAATTACCTTACAGTTTCGCTTTTTTTTTTCTAGCATTTGTATGCCCTAATCTATTTAAAATTAGTATGTCAGCACTCTTATTATGCAAACGTGAAAGTTTTGACGTCAACTGGAATTCTCTCATCGTACCTTTGTTTTTGTTAACTACACTGCTTTTTCAAATGAAGTTTGTTCGACCGATCGATTGAATCAGTTACGATTGGCAGAGACGCCCATGGTCTCGCACCCTTTTGGTCCCAGTCACGAAGATAGGGTAAGGGTCTGGCTCAACCAAAAAGATGTCCTGCCTAACGAGAGAATGTGCTGCGAGGTTGCCAATCACGACTTTCTTTGCTGTATTCAGTTAGCCTTCATGCATAATACAGGTAGCCCCCTCATGGATTATTTTGCTTCCACCTATGCTGCGGTTGATCCCACAAATCCTGGATTTGAAGAACCTACCTGCTTCCCGGCATCCAGGGAGTAGGCAACCCTTCCTTCATTTGCAACTCCGGAAGAAGCAACTTTTTATATGACTATTGAATCATTGGCGCTACCCGAGCCTCATTCTCGTTACCTTGAGCCTCACTCACTGAACGAGTCGCAACCCCATCTTTCGCACCTAACTTGACTCTGATTCCCCCACTATGAGAGCTGACTAACCTTTTTTCCTTTTCGGTCATAGCCTTTGGGGCAGGCGGTAGGCTTGTAGAGAACTTGCTTAAGGAAGTAGTGTCTTTCGCTTCTTAGCATCCCGCCTCCATTCCTAAAGTCAGTAATGGAGTAAGGGACGACATCTTTTCTTTTCAAACTTTTCAAAAAAACAAACTACGAATCTACAACTCTCTTTACTGAGCGAGACTCTATCCAGATCGACATAATCCGCCAAAGAGCCTTCTTCTAACTAGGAGAGTAGCATTACATAATCCGCCAAAGAGCCTTCTTCTAACTAGGAGAGTAGCATTAATGTATCAATTTTAAACAAGTTTAAGGTGTATAAAAGCTATGAAAAACAAGCGAACCTATATAAGTGCAAAAAGGGTGAAAACTATAATGTATTTAAGTGTTATTTACCTAAAATTTGAGTTAATTATCAAAAGTTTTATTTCCAGTTCTTAGTTTTTATCAATGTATACTCAACATTTTTCTTCAACATTAACTCTTTTGGAGTCCGTCAGAGCATACAATGAGTTAGGTTAGATTTGAACCACTGGCCAACTAGAAAGATCTCCTCCCTCACTCTTCGTGGCACTAGTCAGAAGTCCCACTCGCGGGTGGTAATTAGCTAACTTCTTGCTATTACTTATTTATTGCCCTCATTTTCAACTTTTGGTCTTCCTACTTATTTCTTGTTCAGTCTCTTGTTGCCTTTTTCCCCCCTTTCCTTTTCTTTACCTTTTTGGGTAATGATCATAAAATATTACCTAGCATGTCAATTCTAGTAAGAGATTTCCTTTGTTCCCTATATCTTCTTCAATACAGATCTTCTACAACTCTATGATTTTGTTCTAGTTTAAAAGAAAAAATTCTTTTTTTCGCAATTCTGATATAAAAGTAATTATATTTTCTTGTTGTAATATCTATACCACTATAGTTTTGTGCTTTTAGCATACTTTTCACCAAAACTAGCATAAAAATTTCCAGAATTTTTTTGCAAGGAATGTTTCAACAACACTATTCCAGTTTCAAGTATTATTTGAACAATCACATGATTTCCTTTAATATTCTACATGACTATTTTGGATAGAACGGATTTATTTCCGAGTTTGACTTATTGAGTCTCGCTTTAAAAGCATCACTTCCACAAATACAAGGCTACAAACCAATATCTCCTTTCAATGAAATTGGCCTGAACCCCAAGGAAAGAATTCCAACATATCTAAACACAAGAAGGAACAATAAAATTCTCACCAATGCTAATTATTTGTAAATCATGACTTTGTTCTGCATTGATAAATACGGAGCTCAAACACCTGAATTATAAACAAGTCTTCATATTTTGAATTTGTTCATTTAATTTCTCATTTCAATAAACCTTTTGTCACATAACCTGCTGTTTTCAAATGTACGAAAAAACAAAATTAAGAATCATCAAAATGATGGGTGTTTATGTAGATCAAGTAATCTTAAAGAAAAGAGGCTAAGGTTAGAAGTACAACTTGACATAGTTGATAGAAGGGGATTAGAAATATGCCATGTTTTTAAGAATTGCAAATTATAAGGAAAAAATGAACAAAATTGGGGGCGAAAAAAGCAATAATTTGATCTTCTCAAGAGAACTGCTGAGCTCTTCGCAAGAAGTATCTATTGATCATTGAAGGAGCGGAAAAAAAAATCTGCAGAAGGCTACAGAATACTGGCGATCAGCCCTCATGCACAAAAACACAAGCATATCACATTGCTAACCACTGATGTACTCAGGTATTGCTCGAAAGATCAAACATCTCCGACAATAAAATTCTCGAACAGTAAAATTCTCATACCCACTTAAATTAAAATCTCCATCTAAAAGCAAGATTTTAATCTAGAAAAGCACTCTCAGCAAAACTGTTTCCCCAAACATACGCCCATTTTCGTGGGGTTTTAACCTTTTAATCTTCACAAGCACGGGCATCATAGCTAACTTAAAAGCCTCGAAAAAAAGACTAAGATAAATAGAGACATTAAGTTATCACCACCTGTTGCTGGGAGGTTTCACTTTGTAAATCCGAACTATCCAGTTTGAAGTTGTTAAGGCCTCTTCTAAGTGCTCAAGCTTCACATCCTTGTTACCGATTTCCACTCCTCTTGCTCGATCATAGCTGTTAATCATTAAACATAATTATTGCTAGTTGCATATTTAGAATGATCATGATATGGATTTCTGTAGCTCAATGTTGCAAAAATTATTTGCATGCACCCAAAAAACGGCAAGGAAAAAACACTTGAGTCCTAGAAAAATAGGCTAATTCAGTGATGCCTAAAGGCTGAGAGACCAAAAATATTGAAAGTATGCAAAGGTTTGAGACCATATTGTATTAGACAGTATTTATTCATGATATGAACTTGTATCCAAATGAGGGAGATGCATATAGCTTACTTCCATGGTAAATGACCCAGCCTAATAGCAATGATTATGTGTATGATCCCAACGATGCAAGAAAAACAGTAGAATAGCCTACGCCACGTAATTATGTGTTCTCTTAACTGGCAAGACAGGTTAACTGAAAAAATAAACGCTACTTGCAGGAAATCAACAGCTTAAGTAATGTCTAAAGCTGAGAGACAAAACACATATCATAGCGTAGAATTTCAATGCTCAGAAAAGACATGATAATTCACTGGGAAATATGTAAATTCTTCAGGAAAACCAATGCTAGGACAGTCAAAAGGACTCCAGTGTAGATGGCATGTCTTTACCATCAGTGGACAATGCACACAGATACCATAGTAGGCGTTCACTTTAAAGCACCTTACATGATTCTAGAACAAATGCTCTAACTACATGCATACTCAGCTCAAGGATAAAAATGCAGTAGGGATGTCCTTGTTGCAAGGGCACCTTTGTCAGAGATCTCACACTAACTCTGTATGGGGTTGACCATAGGTTGAAACCTAGTCATTAAAAACTTGATCCAATTCTTTTATTGGGTTCTCCGCACTTGTAAGTGAGGTATATAGAGAACCTCATTTCATGTTGACCGAAAAAGTCAAAGTGAAGATGATAATCCAGAATTGGATAGACACTAAACGTTGTTCATCTACCTTAGGTACACCAACCTATTAATTTGAGTAAGTATGCTATAAGAAAGTAGAATCCAAGAGCACATACCCAGGGGGCTTCCCATACTCTGTTGTAAGCTCCCCAAACCGGTAGTAAGAAAGTTTATACCTGTTCAGTTCAAGAAAAGAGGTTATGCATAGCAAACATGTGAACAAGAACCTACCTATTTTAATGCCTGCAGTATAAACGCCAAAAGAGTCATTGATATATCAAACTGCATCATGAGTGAAGATACATGCCCACGAATAACAAATAAATTTCTAAAGCCTTTAGCATGGTTTCAAAATTTTGCATGTATCTTACCTTTATGTGGCACGTAATGAAATTGGGGGAAAAAAGGTTAATACACTTGCGAAAAATCTAGGAGATTTGACGGTAATAGGTGTTAAATTTTCTTCTGAATATTCAACATGGAAACCCTCTAATGAAAATCCTATGCACATATATAGACTTAATTATATCTTTACATTTAACACATCGGTTTTTGTATAGTTATTCTCTCCTGAACTCATAAGCATGATCAAAAAGTTCACAAGATAAAAATAGGTACCATTTATTTGTAGAAACAGCTCTGATTCCATGTTATCTTGGGAAGGAACCTCATCCTCAAGAGGAATAGTTATTTATCTATACACTAAGACAATTGGGTCTATAACTGTAGCAGCTAGCATAGATTTCCAATAATTTAGCATCTGCTACTGAAAAATGTACTCAACAATTCGTTGCCTCCCTTGGTTAGAGCATTCAGCCACTAATGCGCAGGTACAAGTTTGAGTCCTGTCTCAGCCAAATGAATTTTTTGCAAAGCAAAGGTAGCAGGTAAACACTTGTATGGACTGCATGATTCTTAAAAAGATGTTTTTTGCTTACAAACACAAAGTTTACTCCATTTACCGAATGAAACAGGCCCTTTTCCTTATGAATCCAAAGTTTTACCCTTTTTATATTAAAAATACTCCACCAAACTATTTTTAACCCCAATTTGTATTTTAGCAGCTTTATGTACGGTTGGGTTGCTATATTTTGCAGTATATTTTTTATTCTAAATGGATACGTTATATGGTGCGTTTTTAAACCAATTGTTCAAATCGCTATTTTTTTCATGGAGATTTCCCACTAATTTCATAGCAATGCCAATTGTAGATGAGGTTTTTGCATAGAAACTCAAAGTTTCATCCTCATTGGCTTTTATACCCACCCTTTTAAAAAAGCATTTTAGCCTATATAAGCCCAGAGTTCAACACAATTTATAGTAATTTTCTATATTTTCGTGCTAAGTGGTAATGTTTGGCGTAGTTTTAAACTTAGGTGCTTAAACCACTAATGTTTAAAAAAAATTCACGCTAAATGTCATGCCATCGCGAATTGTTGATGAGTTGTTTGCCTCTAAACCGAAAAGTTTAGCCCATTTGTTTTCATACCCACCCTTTTCTAAAAATGATTTTTTATAATCCCAAAGTTTTAACAATTTTTACTTCTAGACACACCTTCTTCCCAAATCACTCTTCAGATAAAAAACACACGCAAAGTTTTATTCTCATCAATTTTCAAGTTCATCCATTTCCTGAAAAAAAAATTATTTATGACCCAAAGTCTTACATCTATTTATTTTTAAATGCCTCCACTTACAAAATCACTTTTACACCCAAATACTTCACTAAGTTGCTATACTTCGCTATAACTTTCTATAAATTTTTATTTTAAGTAGTTAGATATATGATGTCTTTTTAAACCAAATGCTTAAATCATTATTATTTATTTATTCTTTTCGCACTAATAATCAGTGCATTAGGTAGCCGATAGCTAGCAACCAGCTTAAACTATAGTTGGATCCACATGAAAATGAATCTTATTGAATATACGTTAAGGCATCTTCACCGCGACGTGTTGCATCAATGCCACCCCGATGCAATGATAAGTAAACAAGGATGGTTTGCTAAGGTGTTCCCCAAAAGCAATGTGTTACATTGATGTCACCCCGGTGTAATGACAAGTAAGCAAGGGTATTCAAAGAATCTATAATCCTCTAATAGGTTGCCAAATAGTATTAGACATAGAATAGAACGACAAAAGATGGGAAATAGTAAGACTTTTACAGGAGAATAGAATTAGATTAGCTACTTAGAATATAATTACACTTACCAGAATTAGTAGACATCATGCCTAGAAGAAAGATAAGTATAATATGCACTGTTTTAAATATCGGCCGATAATCGATATTATCGGCCGAGTTATCGGATTTGGGACCTCTCCGCTAGGATAAATTGGATTTTTAATCGGTTATCGTTTTTCTAGGTTTATCGGCGATTTATCGGCGTTATCGGCACTTATCGGCCGATAAGTAAGACTTTTTTATCGGGATTATCGGGATTATCGGCCAATTTGGACTAACATTATATTTTTTCAAGGCTATGATGCAAGTTTCGCTTTCTACAGTTAGTTAATGATTCTAAACATGATGATTTACATTTTGGTATGTTTATATTTCATTAAGCATGATTAGATTACATTTTTTAATTGTTATATTATATATACACATCATTTAGTATATAACTCCGATAAATACTACTTATCCCCGATATATCCCCGATTTCCGCTATCCGATAAGGATTTTGGCCGTCCGATAAATCCCCGATAACCGATATTTAAAACCTTGATAATATGTTTACAAGAAACTAAATGTATAGGTGAAAAATCTAGAGAGACTGAAAAGACTAGATATAAACTTTGGTACATGGGAAAAGAGAAGAATAGAAACTGAGTGGGAGTCCTTGTAGATAACATAATAAAAGATAGCTTGTAGATGTAAAAAGAATTGAAGATAGAATAATACTAATAAAAATTGTATTAGGAGTAGAGGTTATTAATATTATTAGTGTTTATGCACATATAGTTGACCTACGGTACTAAAAAGAAAATTTGGGATAGCTAAGATGAATTGGTACAATGAATTTCATTAGGAGAGAAATTGGTTATAAGAGGGGATCTTAACGAGCAATGTTGGCAAGGATAGTAATGAATATGAGAGGATGCATGGAGGTTTTGGGTATGGAGATAAGAACGATATAGGAGAATCAATTTTAGAGTTCGCAACATTATATGATTTAATAATACCAAATACACAATTTAGAAAAAAAGTATGAACACTTAATAACCTTTAAAAGTGGATTAAAAAGAGACTTTTTTCTTACTAGAAGGGTAGATAGGTTAACATGTAAATATTGTAAAATTATACTGGAAGAGAGTTTAACTATACAATATAGGTTGATGATTATAGACATGTCTATTAAGAAGTGGAGTAGAAAAATTAACATGAACAAGAGTCTAATAACTAAATGGTGGAACTTAAAAGGAGTATGCATTTAAAAATAAGATAATCAAGAAAGACATGGAATTTGAATAATGAGACTAATATCATGTAGAATAGCATGTCTTCGTGTATTAAGATGATGGCTAAATATATACTAGGAGAATCTAAAGGTCATAGATCAGATGGTAAGGAGAATTAGTGGCTGAATGAGATGTGCAAAAGGCGGTTAGAGAGAATAAAATATTATATAAAGAGTGGCAAAAATGTAGGAACAAGAAAAACTCGAAGAAATATAAGCTAACGAGGAACGAAGCAAAAAGGAGGGGTTAGTGAGACTAAATACAAGGCTTATGAGAATTTCTATAAAAAGTTAGAATCTAAGGAAGATATATATATAAGCTTGCTAAGATTAGAGAAAGGAAGAGTAGGAATTTAAGTAATATTAGGTGTATTAAAAGCAAAGATCAAAGAGTTCTAATAACCGATGGGAAAAATAAAAGAGAGGTGGAAGAATTAATTTCATAAATTATTTAATAATAACCAAACAAGTAAGCAACATAGAGAACTCGACCATATAGTGAATGATGAAAACTATAGATTTTGTCGAAAAATTAGTAGTGAGCTTAAGGATGCTCTAAAAAAAATGAAAAGTAGAAGCGTTGTAGGACCGGACAGTATCCCTATTGAAGTTTGGAAATAACATGGAGATATAGACTTAGGATGATTAACCAATTTATTTAATAAGATTAACGAGACAAAGAGGATGTTCGATGAGTGGAGGATTAGTACTTTAATACCAATATATAACAACAAAGGAGATATACAAAGTTGTTTAAATTATCGTGGTATAAAACTCATAAATCATACTATGAAACTTTTGGAGAGGAAACTTGAGCAAAGACTAAAAAAGAAAACAAGTGTATTTAAAAATCAATTTGACTTTATTTCCGGAAGGTCAATTATGGAACCTATACATATTTTGAGATGGTTGATGGAAAGATATAAAGAAAAGATAAAAGAATATACATATGATTTTCATAGATCCAGAAAAACCTTATGACAGAGTGCCTAGAGAAGTAATGTAGTGGGTTTTAGAAAAAAAATATGTATCTAGTATATATATTGATATGATTAGAGATATATATGATAAAGTAACAACTAGAGTAAGAATTAATGTAGAAGAGACTAAGTCGTTTCATATTACCATAGGTTTACACTAAGGGTCAGCCTTAAATCCTTATTTTTTTACATCAGTTAATAGTTATTGACCAATTTACTAGGCACATTCATGATGAAATCCCATGATATATGTTCTTTGCGAATAATATAGTATTAGTTGACGAAACTAGAAGAGGCATAATTTTTAAAGTAAAAAGGTGACGACAAGTTCTTCAATCTAAAGGTTTTAGAATTAATAGAACAAAAACAGAATATATTGAGTGTATTTTTAGTAGATCTAAGAAAAAAAGAGCCTAAGTACATATCGATGGTCAAGAAATATCTAAAAGTAATTATTTTTGCTATTTAGAATTAATTATTCAGCATGATGATGAGATTGAGGATCGAATCAAATCGGTATGGTTGAAATGAAGTGTTTCGGGAGTCTTATACAGTAGAATACTAATGGAACTAAAGGAAAAATTCTATAGAACGGTTAAAAGAAAATATGGGTCAGAATGTTGGGCAATTAAAAACGTGCAAAAAAACGTGTAACAAAAATGAAAATGTTGCGATGTTCTTGTAAATATACACTAAAAAATAGGATAAAAATAAGTTCATCCATAGTAAATAACAGGGTGCTCCTATTGAGGATAAAATGAGAGAGAATCGACTAAAATAGTTTGGTCATGTATAACAGAAACCTCTTAGTGTAACAGTTAGAAAAAGTGATAGTATTATAGTTAATGGGGCTAGAAGATCTAGAGCTAGACCTAAAAAAACTTGGTTAGAAGCAATTAAGAAGGATATGATTATGTATAACTTAATGGAGGAGATGTCCCATAATAGAATGGAATGGAAGAATAGAATACATGTAGCTCATCCCAATCATTTGGGACAAAAGCTTTGATGTTGTTGTTGTATATAACTGGTTTGTGCTTACAATTAAACTGGTCCTATCATAGCAAAGGTCGAATGTGAACAAACAATGGAAAACAAATAGGGTTAAGGCGATGTATGTAGAGAAGAAAAGATAGCAATATTTACGATAAAAATTTTAAGTTGGTCTAGTACTTGTATTCTAAATCATGTAAGTCTAGATACCGTCCCTTTTAAAATTTCATAAATATACGCTATCAGACTAAAGAGAGGAACAATAGCTAGAATTTGGGAGAAAAATTATCGGAAGCATTGAAATTTAACCAAATTGCATCAAAAGCTTACATGAGGCAGTTCAGCATTTTGGGCGCCGCGCCTTTATCAACCCGATACTCGCCATTAACAAGATAATCTGGTTCCTTTATTACAGGGAAGACTCCACCACCAATCCGTACCATCCAAAGAAATCTAGCAAATTAGAACGAAGTCATCGAAAAAAATCAATATGGGTAAAATAAAAAATCAAACAATTATGTTGCATCTACTTGCTCGTTAGTGAGAGGTTCACACTGCAGATATAAAACGAGTTAACATTAGAAAAAAATGCATGATAGCAAAAAATTCTAACACTTACTTGTTAATATCATCGGAAGAATAACCTGTGACACCTCCAAATACAACAAGAACGTAATCCACATCCAGTGACCGCATAATCTCATATGCCTCATCTTCATATGATGACATCGCCCGCCCAACAGTAGCAATATGTGTATTATTCCATGTATTATTGTCTACAATCACAGTTCTGTTTCCCATGGCAGTGATCTGGTATCCGTAATCCCACCAGGACATGATTTTAGCATCTTGAGGAGTATTTTGACGAAGCCAATAATATGCTTCACGGTAATCGTCAAAAATGACCCTGTCACCCCGAGCACCCCTTGCAGCCAAGACAATAGATGGAGAAGAATATGCCTCAGATGTGACCCAGGTGCAGTGTACAACATATCTACTAAACCAATATAGAGCTCCAACCAGCAGAACCATAGCAACGTTTCTCTGGTAAGGTAGAGACTGATCCTGTGCTGCTGCCTGCCAACATAGCAGGACAATAGTTCACAAAAAGAACTTCAAAGGTGAATTTTTGGAATTGCAGAATAGATTACAGGGAAAATATTGCGCTATAATGTAATATACTTGTAATAGAATACAGTTAGATATTGTTAAGTGTTAATTCCAAGAAATTATAAGAATTTTTAAGAATTTGTATAAAAGATAAATGTTGTGAGCATCCTATCTTTTCTCTTCAAAAATTGATATATAGAACATCAAAGCATTAATAGTCAGCTCTCCAGTGTATATGGAGATGCATGTAATACATTACAATTTTCAAGTATTTCTTCCTTTTTCACCTTCTTCTAGAACTTAGTTCAGTCCAAAATGTCGGTTTTCTCCCGAACCCCAACAGCAACAGATTACATAAAGCAAATTAAAATTATATATTTTTTAAATCCAGAGTACACATTAAATATAAACTGATGATTTAGCATAAAATAATCTAGAATGATAATAGCACAAAAGTATTTTAGATGTCAACTCTAACATTGATGAAAGTACTGAAAGGGTAGTCATTAACTTTTAATCAAGTACGATAGTAGCAGTCAAACATAAAACTACAATAGATATTATCACATGTTATAATTCAACAAAGAAGTATGATCAGTAGCGAAGCACCATCAAGCAATCAAATACATAAGCACTCACCTTAGCTGATGCTTTCAAGCTAGCTGAACCTTTGCTGGAAGCACCCTGGAGAGCTTTGCTCTTCACCCGCACTAGAGATGTTAAATTCCTCACAGTAGCTGATACTGCAATTGCACTAATGAGGCAAACAGCTGGTGTAGCTACAAGAATAAGACGGACCATCACACCAGCAAAATACAAGCTTGTAAGGCCATACATGACTATGAATATTGTAGCATCGGACAAACGCTTAAAGCAGAAGTAGAGGCCTGCTGGGAAAAGGAAAAGGAGAATATGGTAGTCAAACATAAAGGATGACCATGCCGTTGGTTGATGCTCAGAAACCGACGCAATGATGGGGATATGGTCCTTGGCATATGTTGGATCAAGCAAGGAATAAAATCGTCCGGTCCAAGGAGATATATACCCAGTTGCTGTGCCAACTCCAAGAGCAAGAATGCCAACACTTATTGCACATGTTAAAGTTATTCTCAAAAAGGACTGAAACAGTTTAGTGTCACTTAACATATATTTCACCCAGTCCAGGAAGTAAAATACCTGCAAAACATAAACTAACATCAGGAAGGAATTGGAATCCAGATGTCAAAGCAAGCATACCTTATTAAGATAAGATAAATACAACAAGTTTAAGAAGGATCAGCCATGATCTAGGGATGTCACTGGTCATATTACTAGCTTGCATGAACTATGCAGTTTTTTCAGACAAGGTTGTCACTGTCTCAGAACACCAGAGAAGTGGAATTCTGGCAAAAAAAAAGTATATAATCTGTAAGAATTTTTTTAAGCATTAAAAATATATTTTGGTTCAAATGTTCCAATCATCCAACTTTATCCTATTATAGAGTAATGCATAACGGACAATATATAAGTGAATGCATGACAAAGTAATAAAAGTATGCATTAAAGTAATTCGGGTGATGGTCTCATAGTATTTGCAGTATCAGGTAAGCATCTTCATGGAGCTATTTCACCTCAAACAAACTCACCCAAACATCAAAACTTCCAAAGACACCGCAAACCAATAAACATTGAAGATTTCTGGCAGGAGTGACAATCCCATATGACATTCATTCTTGTATCAATCCAAAATATAATATATAGTATCCCAGTTTACATCGATTACCAATCAATGAAAGAGGTCAGCACAAGCGCGTATCCAGGCTTTGATAGAGATCCCCTCAGCTCATGACAGAGCATATTTGGAGGACCAGACACATCTACAGTAGTCTGAAGTGACACCACAGCTCCTATTTTCTTATGTTCTTATTCATGTTTTCTTTTGAGCCCTTTGTTGCAACAGTACACTGTGGTTTAATGCTTTACTATTCAGATGGACTTGTACTTTTGACACTTTATCCATTATCTTCCGCTTCTTATCTCTCGTCACGCATCACGGTTTCGCCATGCACGCACGCACGCATGCATACACGCATGCATACATGCGTTTATACATACATCCGTGCGTGTATACACATCACCCTTTAGGTCTGCTTCTAATCCACTGTCGCTTAGTTACCTATAATCACACACTTTTACCAACTGCCTAGCAATAAAACAAAAGTAGCTACTTTTTGGAAAACAAGAACAGTCAGAATGCATTATAGAGATAAGCAATAAACCCACTCCAATCACTTCACCGTCATAAAAATAAAACAAAATTAAATCCCCCCCCCAACCCCCCAACCAACCTGCATCAAGAAAACACGCCCATGGCCGCCAATATGCTCCCCGGAGCTGCACGTGCTGCAAACCCAACAAACCCGGTATCTGCCCGATTGGCGAGGCAGCATCCCGGATGACGTAGTGCCAGCAGTACGCGTACGCTACTAAGCCTCATCAGTACCTCCCCGTCACAGCAGCACCAGCACGTTAGAGCGGCAGCAGGTTGATTTGATGAACACGTACCCTCCCCACGCCGACACATGTAAAAGTACCCGAACGCCGCGGCCAGGCTCCACCAATGGACCCGCTGGCACGGCCTTCACGAACACAGGTAGAAGGTCAGCAAGGAGCGCGAATATCGCCACCCCCTCGTTGTCGTAGGACCCCGCCACGGACCTGGAAATGTAGCCCGGGCAGACGGCTATCAGCGCGGCGGCGACGAGCCCTGCGCCGGTGTCCCAGATCTCCTTCCCAGAAGAAGTAGGCGACGACGGTCGGTGTTGGAGGCGAAGAAGGGGGCGGTCAGCACGCAGACCTCCCGGATGTGGACGAAGAGGCGCGAGGAACCGGAGGGCGGAGTAGATCGCGGCAGCGCGTGACCATGAGGCCGGGGTTAGAGGGTTGCCCGCGATGATGCGGCCGAGGGGGTACAGGACTCGGAGTCGAACCAGTTCCAAACTCGTAGAAGCCTTCTCGGTGAGGAAGAGGGTGGCTCCGGTAGTTGAAGTAGGGTCGAACTCGTGGATCATGGACTCGTAGCGGAGGACGGAGATAGAGGCGGACGGCGAAGGCGAGGATGTAGACGACGGGCGAGGATGGAGGCGCGGAGGAGGAGCTCCTGCTGCTTCGTTTTCAGCTTCAGGCTCCGGAGGAGGGGGGAGGAGAGATCCATGGCTGGTTGGGGGAAATTAGGGTTTTTTTCCTTCCCCTTCTTCTTCTTATATATTATTTATTAGGGTGTCTTTTATTGATTGATTAGGGGTTCATTTGGGGTTTGGAGATGGGATCTGGGAGGAGTTCGGAGGAGAGGGCCTCGTTGTTCTCGTGCGGGGGAGGGGCGGCGTGGGCGGGTGGCGGGCACTGACGCTGAGAATAAGGTTGGGTTGACTCCGCTGTCGTCACTCGTCAGTAAAAGCCTGGGCTGTAGGGCTAGACTTCGGAAGGAAAAGAGTGGGCTATGGCCCGCGTAGAAATAGAAGGGGTTTTCTCTCGATTTTCGCCTCTTCTATTATTGAAATTGCCATTAGGTCCCTCAGAATTAGTCCCTTCAAAGCACTAAACTTATTATTAGGTCCCGCAATCTTTAAAAGTTGTTTGAAATCAAGTCCTCATTTGCTTCTTTTTTTTTCGCTTGTTTGGTTGAGAGCAAGGGTAGCTGCTAGAAGCATAGTAGAACTCTCCGAGATTGTGATCATAAGACTCAATACCGTTGACGATACACGGTCTTTCTCGAGCAAAATTTCACTAGGCTCTCAATTGCCCAAACGCTTAGTTGTTGGCCAGGGAGTAACGTAATAAGTAAGAAATAACGATGGTGATGATTTGAAGTTTACCTTCAACGATAAAAATCCAATTGACGAAATGTTTCGTGCCAAATACTCAAACTGTTAATTAAATCGAATCCTTTACGCAGAGGAACCATAAACACGATATAACACGATTGCTAATTGAAATGCCTCGGTAAATAACACTCCTGAATCAAAAATTTACAACTCTATGTGACCCGCAAACTATATAGATCATAAACTGTCATCGATAATTGCTCTACGTTGCTATAGCTTAGTTTATTTCAGTTAATCTATGTTTGGTACGCTGTTGCCGGGTTCTCTTCTCTATACATAAATCAAATATGCATTTTCTGTACAAAGGCTAAGGCCATCATCCAAACATGATACCTTTATCGTAATGCACAATTCCTCTATAAATTACATGAGATCCACTTGGACAATTACATAAATTTACAGAAATTTCTACTGCCGGAAATAATCAGAGTGAGCTAAATTCTCCGCCAGAAAACCCAACTTAACTACCGAACTCTATTCTTTTCAGGACCTGTAGAAAGAACATCATTCGAACATAAGGGGAGAGAGAACAATTGGATAGAAAGCAAGCAACCAAAAAAGCTGGGAGTAAATAATAACACAAATACTAACCGAAAATGCTAGATTTCAAGGGAAATCGACTCAAAGACCCCTTTGCTTTTACATCTTTAAGTTGCCAGCGTTTATTTGATTTGTCGTCTTTCGCTGCACCACTGCTTGTTTCTCCTCCTGATAGACCGACTCCTTTCTGGATTTTTTCGTGATAAATAGCTGGAGGTGAAAGCCTCAGTTGAGGTAGTGCATCTACATGAAGAGATTTCTGGGGATTCTGGAGATTTCTCAATATTTCGAACTGAAACAAGAAGGTCCGGTTTGAGCGTTAGCAATTAATTCTACAAAAAACATGGGGTATTTGCAATTTAATACCCAAAAGTTTTACAATCTTTTAACTTTGATACCCAAAAGTTTTTCAAATTGATGTTAATTTGACAATTTGAAACCACAAAACGCTAAGTTTGTTCCTCATTTTGCCCAAACTCAAAAAACTGAAATTTGGTAAGAAATTTGTTTCTCATCTGCTCTTATATGTTGATATTCTTGAACAATATTGACGTCAGCTTTTTCGCACTTTGAGGTATCAATTTGTCAAAATAGAACTTAATGGTATCAAAATTAAAAGGGGAACTTTGGGGTACTGAAGAGCAAATAACCCAAACAAATAAAAATAGAAATAGAAATGGCACCCGAGACATTTGTTGAAGCACGTAAGGCTTGTCCAACTCAGCCTCATGAGCGTGTTGACCATTAGGCATCCCTCTAACTCGGTGGGAGATTGAAGTAGAAGTTGTAACCAATCCATCCTCGATATGAACAGATTTGTTTCTGGCGCGTGAATTCTTTTTAGGGAGGCAAATGGGGCATCCAACTGAAGAATAATTACTGCTGGATGCTTCGTTCTCCTCAGATTCACAGTGGAGATGTGTTGAATGACCACAGGTGAACACTCGAATTCCAGTAGCAGAACCCTTAGAAAGGGAACCACCACAAATGCAGCAACGGGACTCCTGGGGGACAAATGCATGAGTTGCTCCCTTCTTCAGCAAGCCCATGGTGTAAAATGTGTCGTCCTCAATTAAAGATTTAGCTGTGTCCTGTAAAGAAGGAACAAAAAATGATTAGAACAAGAGTATAGATACGTAGTATACTCATAAGAAACTATGATGGAAAAGGCATAACCAATTGGAAAGAATACCATTGGCATGAATCAGGAACCTTGAAGGAACTGACAGGGATAGGAAACAGTTATGCAGAATACAAGATATGCAAAATAGGTTTAGAAGTTATTTTCACGAAACTACCTGAGAAACTAGAGGTGCACAAACAATAGCATGAAATAGGAGTGACCACAACATATGCTCATGTATTTCCCAGACAGCAGCAAAGTAGAAAGTGAAGAAACTAGTTGCACAGAAAGTGTCATGGAAGCATATAACTTGGCATTTAAAACATCCTAATATTCGAACTAATGGAGACTAAAAGAAAGACATAAAAAATCATACAAATACTGTAAAAAAGAATACCAATATTCTTTTTTCGTAGCCGTAAGTTCCAAGCATTTTCAAGATAGTTAATTTGAAATCACCAAACTCCTGATTCCCATTATCAGATAAGAGCTTTGACATGATTGATGGAAGAGGTACGTATCCGACCATTCCCTCAATGATTTCTCCAACAAAGCTTGAAAATAAACGTCGCAAGATATTTATGCATCTTCTGTTCTCTGAAATCCTCCATCTAGGTAAGGAGCCTAATTCACCCAATTGTACACCTGAAGTTGTAGATAACATCTCAACAGGAAAGTCCATGCCACAGAAAAACCTCCTAAGTGGCTCAGAAAACCTGTCGGCAAATAAGTTACAAACTCTAAAAACAAAGTGAAAAAACAAAAGTATTCAAGAAACAACAAATGGTGGATAAGCATTATTTTCCTTCAAGAAATTGACTTATATGTTCTAAGAAGAGGAAAGGATGAATTTGACATATAGCAAGCAAGTCCATTTTCTGGAGACTATGAAGTATACTATATTATTCACTAGTAAAAAAGTAAGCTTACATATATCACAGTCACAAATTTTGACAGCGTTATCCACAAAATAAGTACTTAACGCACAGTTCAAGAAGATTTTAAGAAAATCAATTTAGCTTATTAGAATATAAATTATAACAATCAAGCTTCATCATAAATTTGAAGTATTAACACACAGTTCAAGAAGTTTTTAAGAATATCAATTTAGCTTGTCAAAATATAAAATTATGACACTCAACCCTCCTAACAACTTCAGAGTTCTGGTGCAGTAAAAGGGTAATTAAAGAACCAGGTGTGTGGTGTTCTGAACTTGACAATGCAAAGTCAACTCATTTTAAGAAGAAACCAACAACCTCTGAAGCTTTCCATCCTTACTGGCTATGAGTGGGCGCGTACGTATGATCACATACAAAAAGAAATTGAACCCATAAATATACGTGTAATGAATGCTATAGGTAATTGTTCTACGCATTTTATAGACATGTACCTGACATTTATTAATTGTTCTTGACACATTTCTATAATTTTCAAGTCATATTTCTGAAAAGTATATGTCGTTATAGATAGAAAAACTCTACATTGTTGCTCACACCATAGACAGACAACAATGAACGAAAAAATGAACTATTGATCTTGGGTAAAAAGCCAAAACCTAGAACAGGTGCAATAGCTAATTTCAAAGTATAGATGAAGAGAAAAATCTTGCCTAACTAACAAGTTACCCTATATTACCCGGGTACTTCATTATTGAAGCCGTACCCGTACCGGACACGTACCCGACACTTTCCCGTACCCAAACTTCATGGACACTTCTTGAATATATGCATGCATTTATTACAACATGTACTCAATTCTACGATATATGTATTAATTTAAAACACTTATCAAAGACTTCCTGAACGTAGAGCTTACACTTCACATCCGTCTTTTGAAACTAATGGGATACGGGTCGGCTTAGTTTTAGTCCATACCCAAGTTCAAAACTATATAGTTAATGGGTTGTTTAGATGTCTAGTAAAAAAATGAGTAGTTTACAATTCACGATAATCAATATGATAAAATAAACTCAAAAATGTGATTGATATTTTAATTCTAATGACACATGAAGCGGAAAAAATTATCTCATGTACATTATTAATTCAATATATATATGTAGTCGTGTCCCCGTACCCAACATTTTACAGTTTTGCCGTGTCCCCTACCCGTACCCGTGCCCGTTTCCATGCAACTTAGAAGTTACCCAATCAATCGGATCAAAACCAATCGAAATCACGAGTTTGAATCCTATACTTAATGAAGCGAGGAGAATGAGAGGCAGGCCTAAGAGAACTTGGTTGAAAGCAAGAAGGATATGCAAGTGGTTAACTTTGTATAAAGTTTTGTATGATTCTGAAGCTACTGGATGATATATTTAGTAAAACTAGACCTATTGTTGTTGTTGGAACTGGTAACCTGTAGTTATCTTAAGGCTTATGATACTGAGGCAATTGAATCATCTATTAGTAAAATTAGGAAAAAATGGGCATACAAACAATATCATAAAATTTCTCAAAGATTTACGTAGCAATCAGCAGAAACTCAAGTAAAATTCTACATCCGCCCCCCATAAATTTTAAAAAGTGCACCCAAAGCCCAAGAAATTTAAATTTACTACAGAAATTAGTAACAATTTAAATGGTAAATTAAAAACTCATTTAAATTTCCAACAATAAAATGTACTAAGTGCATCCTCATTACATACTATAGTTTTACAATGTTATCTTTTTATCTTTAGGTAAATAGACACCACTTCTTGTACCCCCCCAGCCAAAAAAAAAAAAAAAAATTCTGGATCCGCCGCCACTGCACATGAACGTAGTATTTTGTGTCATGATAGTGTCATTCATGTATCAATACCAAAAGAATGTTCATATGAGGTTGGTTTTTTATAGGGTATGCACTAAATCATACTAAAGACTAAAGAGTGTGTATAACTTACGAGTCAAGCAAACGAAACCATAGAGACTCAGACTCTTCCTTGTTTAATCGCTGACTATTCCTCTGGCATAAGCCAATAGATACACTCAGCACATCATGTACACAGAGAACCTGCAAAACATTAAATTCTAACTCAGAATGCCTTACTATATCAGGTAAGAAAATAGATTCTTCCTTGAAGACAGAGAAGGATAGAGTCACCAACCTCTGTCATTTTCAAAGTGCTAGTAAACTGATCTGTCTTGCCAGAGATGCCTGCGTTTGTTTCAGAATATTTTTCTTCAACAGCAGTAATGAGCATATCAATTTTATCATGAAGACCAGTCATCACAAGTCCTAAAGCACTTCCGACATCACCAGCCCTTTCCAGCAAAAATGCAGCTGCGTCTGTAACCCCATATTCTTGGCAAAGACGTAAACAGTGCTCCAATCTATAATTTTCAAAATTCTCTAAGAACTTAAGGACCGAGTTTTGTTCATACTTGCATAAAAGCTGCAAACATATATGCAGACCATGAATTTGATAAGTTATGACAAGCAAAGACAGCAGCATCTTATTCACACAACATCAAAGCTGCATACAACATTATGGAAGATCTTATAGTGAAGCTCTGCAAGTAATAATAGATTTCATTCCTGCACTGGTATTTTAAGTCAACTGGATATGCTTGTAGAGATTCTTGAGAAACTTGTCCCAAACTTAACGCAACAGAGTGAACCATGACAATTTTTAAATTAACCTTTTCTCAAACTAGCCAATTTGGAACGATAGTAGATGTGTCCTGAAAGCATTCAGCATTAAATATGAACTACAAATGACAATATAAAGGTTAAGGAATCATGATGTATTCTCAGCAGTAGCACATCTGTCAGACTGTTCCTTTATGAAACCAGAATTTATCAGCCCTTTGCAGAACCATAATTTACATACCTTTTGCTAACAGTTAAGGAATACAGAAAAGCCTATTATAACGTAAGAGGACAAATCATGAATGATGCAGTTATCCTATAGGTCCCCAGATATCGGAGAAAAGGTCAAAAACAAAGCATGAACTTGAAATTCCTGATAATTCTACAACTATCCTAGTGCATTAGAAAGGAAAATTTATTTCACTATAGGAACCTACTTCATGAGCTTTATTCGTGCACCACCTCTATGTTAAAATACTTCACTCACGTGAAACTTATAATAAGTACTTCTGCACTTATAGTAGTCCTTGTTCTTCTTGTCTCCTAAAACTCTGAATTGCAACAAACAAACTTCCTACAACATAAATCCTTCAGTTGATAACTAGACACTATACTACTCCAAAATGGGATACAAAACTTTAGAAATGCTATAAACAAATATCTGAAGCTTTCCTCTTAATTAAAATTGTATGTCTTGTAGCACAATATCAAAATTCCAAATTTCAACTCATCAACGAAATCACATAAGCCGTCATTGAGCTCACTAATTAGCAAGGTTTATAATTTTCATCCCCAACTCAGTTGTCTACAGGGATCTGTGTCTCAGATCAAACTTAGATATAATACAAAATGGTCCATTACTAGTTCCTCTGAGATCCATCACATTACTGCAGTATCCAACTAGATGACTCAAGTAAAGAATGAGGTAGCAACTAACGTAACCAAGTAATGTAATTAACTAAACTCGCGAAAGAAAAAAGAAATGTATAGCTAGGATTTACATTCAAATTATTTACTTATTTATCACAGAAAACTTCCACAATAGACATCTATATCTTTATCTCATATATATTTATTTAAACAAGTAAGACATTATCATATACATCCCAGACCAGATAAGAATGCTAACCTCTAGATAGAGTTCTGCAATTTCATCAGTTACTTGGATCATGTTATGAAGCAAAAGCTTAGGGAAAGTTGAAAGTCTTTCAACATAAGCTTTAAGTTCATTAGGCATATCTCGCATTCTTCCAGTTAGGGTATCTGAAGCATGAGCTGTATCATGAACAGGAAAATTTAGAGTTCCAGACAAGTAGACATCAAAAGAGGTCTTCAAGAAGAGGAAAAGGCTTTGTGGGTGAGAATGAAGTTTATCCAGAATATCCTGACTCTCGCTACTAAAATGGTCGATAACCAAAAAATAAGTACACTCCCTGCAACAAGGAAAAAGAAGAGGAAAGGTAAAGCAGAATTAGGGTAAAAAAGAAAGGGCCATGATATAAGGAGAAAAAAACTAAGTACATTTCGTTCTGTTTCTAGCAGTTGTTTGGATATGATGCAAGGGAAAATAAAGGAAGAGTGCCCTAAACCTTATACTTGAAACATTTACCTGCTTAGCTTGAGCAACTCAGGAATTCTCGATATAACAGCTGACTTGAAAGATACAATCTCCATATCTTTCAGCTGCATCAACATGCTGTTAATAAAAGCAAAGGCATGGATTGGCTCATGTGCGTCATTCATATAACTATCTAGTGCAGCAATGTACTGTCCACTGATGGTATGCACCAAGCCACATGCCTGCAAACTAGAAATGAGATAAGATCATGCAGGAAAACAAGCAATAAAAATGTGAAAAATTACAAGCTTTTCATAAAAAAGATCGTGCCTGATAAAAATGAGCCTTTGAACAGAGATGCAAGACATAAGAAGAATCCCATTCTGTCTGAGGTACAGCCTTCAAAAGAGAGACAACCTGTTTCTCTTCTTCCATAGTAGCAATTTTCTCACTGGGATCACATGATGTCAAGTACTCAAGAATATGTTTCAATACCTTCCCAGAAATAGTGGCTCCATTACATATCACAAGAAATGCAATGAATCCAAACAAGTGTGCTGCATCTTTTTTTGAAGGCCAAACTTCAGTATTGTCACCTTCAATTGCAAAGGACCTGACCATTTCAGATTCCAAATCAAGAATAGATATAAATACGTCTACTGTACTTTGCGCCATTAGTTTCTTATTTTCTAAAGACTCCGAATGACAATCAATTCCTGATTCCGTACTAGAAGCAGTCAGATTTTGTGAGGCAACATCTGGGACTTTGCGCTCTTCTGGGAAAGCATATCGCAGAACATGTAATGTGGCTTCTGTATCTAACAACAATAGGTAACATAGATTTGGAAAGTTTCCATTCAAGGAGTCGAACATTTTCAGGACTTTAGAAGAAACAGATTTAGAGTGCTCAAGCAAAAAATGAAGCAATTCTTTTCTAACTGATGGCAACCGTGAAGGAGAAAGAGAACCATGTCCTACAACCAAAAAACATATGGAATCAGGATATTAAAGAATTGCTATGTTTTTCAGGTTCAACAATAGTTTTCAAACCTTAACCAGAAGAGAATAGGAGATGAAAAGGGAATAAAAAAGAGTGACCAAAATAATACCATGTATATTATTAATAGAATCAGAACCACAAGCCAGGGTAGATCTCTGTGGATCATGTAGTAGATAAGTGCTAAGTTGCATTGAAAACGGGTACCGGTATATATATTATAATAACTATTATATACTTATATAATATATATATATATATATATAGATGAGAGAGAGAGAGAGAGAGAGGGAATATGGTATGCTTGTACAGCACAAATTTGTGCTTGGTAGTGAGGTGGCATATTATCTCACTCATTCAATGGGGGGGACACATTCACATGGGTTGAATGTGGTCCCAATTGATGAGTGGATGGAATGATACGACACATCACTACAAGCACAAAATTTGTGCTTGTACCAAGTATACATTTTTCTCATATATATATTTATTATATATATATACATACATACATATATATATATACATACATATATATATATATACATACATACATATGTATATATATACATATATACACACGCACGAGATCATTCTTTTCCACTTCATGTGTTATAAGAATTTAAATTCCAATCACATTTTTAAGTTTCTTTTATCATATTGATTATCATAAATTGGAAACGAACTCGACACATATCTAACTAGTTTCAAGAAACGGATGTGAAGTGTAAGCCATACGTACAAGAAGTGTTTGACAAGTGTTTTAAATTAACACATATATCGTATAATTGAGTACATGTTGTAATATATGCATGCATATATTCAAGAAGTGTCCATGAAGTTTGGGTATGGAAAGTGTCGGGTACAGGTCCGGTACGCGTACGGCTTCATTATAGAAGCATCTGGGTAACATAGACTGGTAGTGATGATCATCTGAAAACAATGATGAATTTTTTTAACTAAAACTTCTGAAGTCGACTCATTTAGCATCATTTTGTTTACAAGTTGCTTGACAGAATCTCTTTCAGATTTTTAACCATTACCTATCCACATATTGATTTATACAAGATCAAGTAATAGACGGGCAATAGACTCCACGCAGACCAGGATTGATAACCAATAATTATATTGCAAATGGAGAGAAATATCTATATCAATGCAAAATAAAAAGATGTATAAGATAAGTTCCAATAAAGATGGAGAATCTCTAATTAAAATCGTACAGAATGCCTAATCATCAAGAAATTAGTGCACTAAATGCCAGCATAACTTAAACCTTAAATCACGTTCAAGTATCTCAATGCTTCGTAAAGTAACTGTAAATCAAAGACAGAGAAAAAAAATATTTTGATAAAACAGATTAATTTATGATATACCCAATGCTTCATAATTCAGGACAGTGATGGAAAAAGGCTTAGACAATGAAGACAAAGATGATAAAAATGATGAAACACAAAACATTATTCAAATGGAGTGCATTGACCAGAGTCTATTGCAAATGGAGTGCAGCATTCATTTGAATGCAAAAAAAAAGGGTCAAAACTCATAAGTAAGTTCCAATCAAAGAGATAGCTAACGACAGTAAAAATCATGAAGAACAAAAACCTAATCAATCAGAAGGAAATTGATGTACCTGAAATGCATACCTGGAGGAAATCCAAGACCTTGAAAACAATACTTCAGATAAATAAGCATCCTGTACCTGCTCCCCACATTCAAAGTAGCCGATTAAAGAAGGAAAGAGATTTATAAAATAAGAAGCATAACTACAAAGTGTAATAGAAACTCAGAATGATAGCAAAATCAGTACCAAAATCTCCATAAACAGGTAGATCAGGTTAGGACAAGACTTTATATCATACTTTTATCTTTATACTTCAAAGCGACAACTATGCACACATCAGAAAATGAAGAATGAAAGGCCAGTACAAATTTAATTTTGTTAAAACTTTCAATTGATTGTTTAAGAGAAACATACGTACACATATCTCTACACACATTTCCCAACACTTTCATCAAATATAGACCCGTCACAACATTAGGCCCTCAGCTCAGTATCCAAAGCTCCAAGCATTACCACTTCCTTAAAATTTCACCCATGAGATTTCATTTAGTTTCTTAACCAAGAAATTTCCCTATTTTGATTCCCAATTTGAACACAAATTAGTTCTCTGAGGTTTTGGTTTCAGCAATATTTCCTGCAATGCAGGAATCTACTCCCAAACTTAAACTCATAATAGCGGGCATGTTTATATATTGCCTTTTTTCACCTAGCACATCACAAAGTTTGTCCAATACCAAAAATTATGGAAGATCGCAGAGGAATATTCTCCTGTGAAGCCCTCACGGAAGATATGCATATATAGCAAACTTGTCAAGCGAAGGATGGGAGTCCATTTAAAACGGCAATTCATTAAAGCAAAGGATGAAGAAAGGCTTTTAAGGCTAAATTTGATATAAATCATGATTTATAGGATAATCTAGGTTTTAAAATTAAAGATGTCATGAAGTAAAGAAAAATAATGAGTAAGATCAAGTTAGATACATGAGAAGCAAACAAATTTGGTGAAGCAAGGTTATTCACAATTATCAGGAACTGTTGATTGACGACTGTGTCAAAGCAAATAATTCAAACAAATCACTTTATTAGGTTTGGCATGTGTCCCATCATTCAAAGATGGCTGAAATATGCAGTTGAATGAGGCACTAGGCTAGATCCAGATGGATACCAAACAAAACATAAAAGGCAAAGCAAAAAATAGATAAGGACAGTAGGAAATGTGCAAAATTTTGATACTCCTTTAGATATTCCTATCAAAACAGCTGTAAAAAGTACCCGATGGCAGCAACTTCTGCATGTGGAGTATTCTGTATAACCACCAAAAGCTCCTCCAAAGGTGCCTTAAAATCATCTAGACCTCTATTGAAAAGATATATCAAGGCACCAAACAAACCATGCTCACGGCATAACTTCACCACCTGCATAAAAAATCAAGGAATTCATAATGTGAAATATGATTCAACTAGTGTACAAACAGACTATATATCAAATTTCTAATTAGCAGTGAGTTGTCTACTAAAAGGAATTGGTAAGCCATTCAACTTACTATAGAAGTACCTGATTAAAATCCAAGGAAGAGATGTCCATGTGCAGAACACATTGTTCAACACGCTGCAACCATCCTCTGGCACTGTAATGCTCAACGAGGGCTTGCATGACCTAAACTTGTGATTAAGTATATCAAAATTAAATTCATTTTCCATTAATGATCAATGATAGTAATATAACAAGCAGAAATGTGCAAAGAAAACCTCTGGTGGCAAACAGCCAAGCATGTCCTTTAATATATATGGCTCCAAGATTTCCAAGAATGTACCTGCTATTAGCAAACAAATATTAGACTAGTACAAGTCACAACCGCAATCATATGTATAAACCATGACTGAGAGGCCTTTATTAAATGGTGTTATCTTTATGAATCTTTCACCATTTACTTTACAACTGAATCGCCTGTCTAAAGGGCTATATTCTCCATCGGCAAGTCTTTCTAAATATTGTTGTCTGTTTGTTTTGTTTGTGAATAAATGTTTTTTAACGCACGTGCATGCAGACACGCAAACAAAATCTGTATTTATGTTTCAGTATATATAATAAAGAATGTTACTAGAAAAATAAATGAGCAATCAATTGAATATTGCACCCATACAGAGAAATTTTAAACAAAAAGAAAACATAACCAATTCATTGTATCGCTTAGGAAAAAGCAAAGAGATATGCATGCATGCAGAAAAGTATCAGATGTAGATGGACAATGCTTTTGGATAGATGCAGATGACTATGTCAAGCAAGAAGTGCCTTGCATATGATAGACAATAAGATTTTTTTCTGCATTACATCAACAAAGGCTTTCCTTCTCATTGTCTAAAAATTAGGTCATGTCAAAAGTCCTCCTGATATAAGACAAATGTAGAAAGGAATAATCATGATATTACTACAGAATATTTAAAACTCCAAAGTAATCAAGCCAGTTGGTCATGCACACTGGAGTCTCAGTTGCATGTGATGGACATAAGAAGAACTGTTAAGCTAGCATCGCACCATATTACCTATACAATGTGTTTTCCTGAGCTCTTACACTGACAAGAGAAAAAGATCAAGAGTTTCGCAATAGTTCAGATAATTCATGATCGATATAGCGACACATTTCCTTACCTTCTTATCATACTTAGAATTTTATGATTAACATATTCTTGCCACAACAACTAAACTTCGATAAATGTTGGCTCCCCAAGTGCCGGAACATAATTTTCATCAAATATAATAGCTCAAATGAAAATCATAAAACGTAAAGCCTGTGAACAGTTGAAACATGCATGGACACTTGAGACAAACATTTGCGCTAAAAAGTCTAGATGAATATAAACAATACAATGAGCATGTGGCAAGATAATGGTACTGCCCAGTTCAAATCTAACCGACAAGAATTATCAGAAGAAGTAATCAGCAAATGAACGCGTCCAGGCATGTGTATCACTGGAAAAGAAATTACCTCCGTGCTTAACAGCAACAAACTTGGAGAAAATGCCATCAAACAATATATCTGTCCTTTTTATGTGGACACAAAACTCTACTGCAACACCACCAACACGGGCATATTGCTCCTCTATCTCTGACTGAACAGAATTGTCTGTGACCTTTAGACCTTCCAGTTGCCCAACTTTGGCAATTTGATTAGAGAAAGCTACTGAAATATAGGAGAACACTTCATCCACATATGATAACAGCAGCTCTACCAAATATGGCATTATGGCCTCCCTTATAGTATCAACATTTCTTGGAAGATCAATAACACCCTGTGCGTGACCATCATAGAGCCTCATTGCCATATCCAATGCACCCATCCAGTCACCAGCTCTCTGCAGAACTTGAATGCGTTCCTTCCAAGGAAGAAGACGAGTAATTAAAAGATGCATCGGCCCAATTATGTATATTGTTGCTCCTCTTACAGCTATGGAGTTATGATATGCCTTTTCAGGATTGCCAAAAGAATTATTAAAGTGGGTATGATATGAGATGATATCGTCCAAACCAGAACCATCTAAAACAAAACTTGTTCGGTGAAGTTCAGACCCATCTTTTGTAAATAAGCAGAGTTGTCCCCGAAGTGTCAGAACCACCAGCATCTGGTTTAAGGGAGAAATATAGGAAATAAGTAAAGGCATCGACATGAGGACGGACATAAGAAGAACATTATTCCTACCTGATGATCTAACCATGCCACCCCTATTGCCGTGCTGTCAAGGCTCCATTCACTTAACTTTTGAATTTTTGATTTTACCAACTGGGCTACTTGAACTCTGCGATCCCATGCAATCACAAGCCATGAAGCCTTTTCAGATGCATCTACACTTTACACCATAAAATTATCAGGGCTCCAACAGTAGATAAATAAAATCATAGAAATGCTCAAATCATACCTATAGATGAATCATCCGAGCTCATCATGCATTTCCATGCTGTGTAAGGCATGGAGCCTTCTCTCACCCCATCTGGTTTAGAAAATTTATCACAAAATTCTACCTTTGGAATAAGCCTCACCTGAAGGGTGAAAATAGAAATTTTAGTTCATTTTAGAAGGAGGATGGACAACTAATTACTTTTAGAACTAACTCAAAACAAAGAAACTATCTTAATTTTCCATAGTAATATGAAGGCATCATACCACCAGAGCATTTTGATGGGTGACAAATATGACCAGACCTTCTTCAACCATAGAAGAACCTTCATTGAACAACTTCCATCCCACCTCCCCACCAACACCACCTCCCACAATGCTACCAAGGGCACTGTTGGAAATTGTTGAGTTTCCTTGGGCAGTGGTAGAAGCACTCCCATGTAAATCTCCAATGAAAAGAGGACTAGCGGATAGTACAACAGCATTCTTTTTACCATCAAGAACAAACTGTTGAAGGAAATAAATAGAAGCTCATTACATGGAACTATACATTAGATGAAGAGACTCATGCATTCAAAACAGTAGATGAAATAGATGTTAAGAAAAGACTGAAATCTACAGCACAGAGACATATGGTAAGATTTTAGACCTGAGACTGGACGGAGAATAGATTGAGCAATGGTAACACCGAGATAGTATGTAAAAAAACGATCCCATTTGAGTCTCCAGTAATAGCTTTAAATCGCCCGAAAAACAAAGTATGAACTACCGGGCCATTATGTTCCCCAGTTATTACTTTTGCAGTCGTTGCTCGCTGAACATCCCAAAAAGTCAGACTACCATCACCATATCCAACCAAAAGTATATCACCGAGCTGATTGAAGCACATGGAAGTCACTGCCGTTTGAGATTTTGCACCATGGGAGCCAAGTGTCAACATCTGAAATATAACACTGTTTAAAGATATGAACGAGAAAAGGACTCATAGTCACTAGACAGGGTTGGCAATTAGAGTGGACCAGGGCAAGAATAATTGACAACAGCAATGAAGCATTTATCTGCCGAAACAAGGGCATGAAATATGGTGGGTTATCTCCTGAAGGTTTGTTATTTAAAAACTACTTCAGTTTGTCTTCCAGTATATCCATGCCTAACTGCTCTTCCAGAAACAGCCATATGCCATGAAAACAGTAGAACCAAGGTTAAAATCTTCCTCATTAGCTAAAACCTCTAAGTTGTAACTTCAACTTAGCAGACACCTTTCAAGCATAGATGTAAAAGGATGTTAGAAAAAATTGGTCAATGTCACCCAGGAAAGGGGGGAGGGGATAGGAATTTGAGGTAGGAAAAGAGGGTTACCTAGGGGTAATTGAGGGAAATAAAGATGCATGTGAATGGCACGTGCTGTTTTAAACCCAACATAGCAGTAAAATTGCCTCAAGGAGTTATGTAATAAAAGTTAATGCTAGGGTTTTTTTCCCTAATAAATGGGCAGAGATGGAGGGTTTTCATAATAATTATGCAGGGAAATATGCAGATGCATATCTCGCAGAAGATGAGAAGGCTTCTTTTCAAGTTGGAAAATGCTAATTAGAGTCGATATTATGATTGGAAAAGGAATTAGGCGTAAAGAATTGTCTGAGCTTAAATGACATTGGATATTATGTGAACTATGGGAAACAAACAGGGTGCAAAGATGTACTCTAGCCAGTCACCAAATTATAAAAAATGGTTGACCAACTAGGTGCGTGCATGTATATCCATTAGAACAAGAAAGAGTTCATAAGAAGA